CATCACAGTTAAAAATATTATTGGGATCATAATTTTTTAGAATTTGGCAAAGATTTTCACGCATTGTGTCAAGTTCTGCAAGTGGTGCACTTGCCGCTTCTCCATGCATATTATATTGTTTAAGATTATGCTGTTTTTTAAATTTGTCAATCCATCCATCTGATCCCTTGAATATTTTTCTTCATTACACAAAAAAGCAAATTCTAAGGCTTTGATTGAAAGAATATCATCACTGATAATAAGACCAGCCTGGAGTGCATTTTCCACTCAAAGAGCTAAAGCCTCTTCAATAACAATAAAAAGGAGTTTTCTTTCTCGTCTCAAACCAGTTTGATATAAATAAAGATCCACAGCAAGCCAACGGTCTTTTGTCTTTAGAATATCACAAATCATCCCTTCACTAACATCATACTCTTTGGCTAGGTCTTTGTTTTTTAAGAAAGGTGAAGATTTTTTTTTTAAGCAAACTTCTTGTTTCTGTGCAGCAGTAAGAGACTTACGTTTTTTAGGGGCAGAAGTTTCCTTAGAAAGTTGTTTCTTGGACAGGTTAATAGGCTTAGCTTTCGGCATTTCAAAAAAAAAGAATAGAAAATATGAAAACTAACACGAAATATGAGACGCGAATATCCCTTAAAAAAATACATTTTGTGACAAATCTTCGTTATAATTAAAAAAAATTTCGGTATAAAAAAAATTCATTATAATGCGATTTATTTTATATATATAATTTATGCAGTTTTATTTCGTTATACTTTATACAGCATTTTAATAGTAAAATTCGGTTTAGCGAAATTTTATTCATATAATAAAATCTGTACCACAATGAAAATTCGTTGTATTAAATAATTCGTTAAATCAAAATTCGTTATAACGCGAGCCAACTGTACTGATATTTTTATAAATAATTATAAAATAAGAAATAATATTTTCTGCTAATTTTTAACTTTGCTTAATGTATTAATTTAAAGTTGCTGGAAAAACTAGGGGTTTTAGCAAGTTGGTGAAATGCTGAAATAGTGAAACTTTACTGAAACTATATGAAAGTATAGATGCTATCAGAATTATTTTTACGGTTACGGCACGTACTATAATGTCATAATTAAATTTAATTTAACACCGTAATGTCGTAAATATATGTGCTGTAAATAAATAAGACTAAATTTAATTTTAGCAAAGTTTGTAATGCAGGGTCAATTTTTTTTCGCATTTTATCACGTAACATTACACAGATTTCCAAAAAAGGAAATTTTGTCCCTCAATAAAATTGAATAATGGGTTGCACAAGGTTACATGAGTTTCCAAAAAAAGAAATATTCCTATTGATCATTTAGCATTGTAAAAGTCACGTGATTATGATTAATTACGGCGCTACATTACGATTATGGCATTATTTATGACATATGTCATAATACTGAATTAGGGAATTCTAACAGCACCTATATATGAAAGTCTTATTAAAAAGTTAGTGAAACTCTGAAAAAAAGTGAAACCTGACGAAACTTATTATAAATGCTGAAACTGCCAAAACTTTGCCGAAACTATAATAAAACTATAGTAAAATTTTGGAAAAACTAATCATAGAATTTTGGAGAGATTTAGGCAGACAACCTTAGTATTAATTCCTATTTGAAAAACAGAAGAGAAATCTATAATAAAACTAAGAAATATTCTTATATTAAACTAGGTGTAAATGGTTATAATATTGGAAGAAAGCAAAATCATGTAATGATGACCTTTTGTTTATTGAATGAAGAAGACAAAATATTTAAATTTAATATATATACAGTGGATTACAAAAAAAAGCATCAACTTTAAATTAAATTTACAGTATAAATTACAAGTTCCAGTATAATAAATTTATATTTATTTTAAAATTAAAGTTTAAAGCAATATTTTAAAAGTATTTATTTATTTAATTAATAGTAAAATTTGTAAAAATTACCTAATTTATAAAAAAGTAAAATTTTTTAACTAAGGTAGATACAGTAAAATAAATGGTAAAAATCAATTCTTTGAGTAAAAAATAGCTTAAATTTTAAGTACTATAAAAATTGGATTACTGATTATTGAGAAAATTAATTTTAAAAATCATAGACTTTTATAATAAATTATTAATTTTTTTTAGTAATTTACATGATTTTTAAAATTAATTTTCTCAATAATCAGTAATCCAATTTTTATAGTATTTGGAATCTTATTTTTTACTCAAAAAATTGAATTTTACCATTTATTTTACTGTATCAGCCTTAGTTAAAAAGTTAAAATTTTACTTTTTTACAAATTAAATGATTTTTACAAAATTTTACTATTAAATAAATAAATAAATGCTTTTAAAATATTGCTTCAAATCTTAACTTTAAATAAGTATAAATTTATTATACTGGAATTTGTAATTTATACTGTAAATTTAATTTAAAGTTGGTGCTTTTTTTTGTAATCCACTGTATATATATTAAATTTAAATATTTTGTCTTCTTCATTCAATAAACAAAAGGTCCTGTCTCTTATACACATCTAGATGTGTATAAGAGACAGGAGCACTACAACTAAAGTTGTGGAAATGCACTCCTACCGTTGAGCGATAGCTAACCAAGCACCTACTCTAATTATTTAGAAGTAACCAGATGTACATCCTCTCTACTCCCTATATACCACACTGGGAAGTTAAAGTTGGTGCTTTCTTTTTGTAATTTACTGTATATATATAAAGCTCTATACAAGCCAGCTTGCAAGTCAAAAGTACTTTAAAAATATATTAACTTGCGAGCCAGCTTGCAAGCCAATATATTTTTAAAGTATTTTTAGTTCACGAACTGACTCATATAGAGTTTATATATATATATATAATATATTTTATTTATATTATTTTTATTAATCCAATTATTTTTAATATAAACCTTTTATATAAATAAAGAAAAATATGAGACATTAGTAAAATATTTGCATTACAATTGGTCAAGTTAAAAAATAATGGAATAATTGATAATAATAATGTAATTATTAGCTAATTAAATTTTATTTTTCTAGTTCATATACATTATTATAAGCCAAAATATGTTTAACTTTGATTATTTTTATTTATATTGTAAATGTAATGCTGTGTTTCATTATAATATAAATCTTTTTTAAGCACATATTGAAAATGCTAAAGATAAGAATTTATGTGATTGTTTAAAAAAAATTATGCATATTTATATTTTTTATATTGTTAATTAGAAAATAAAAGACCTGCTTTTTTTTTGCAATTGATTTATTTAATTATATTCCTGATGAACTTCATATTTTTTTACAAATTTCTGATATATTTATTGTATAAAAAAAGTGTGAATATATTGCTATTATACAAAAGTAAAACTGAAACTGATATTAATAATAGCAACATTAATGATAGTGATATTAATAATATGTCATTAGATAGTAAAAAGGTATTATAAAATTTAATATAACAATATTATTTAAATATAATAATTTTTATTGAAAATTCATTTAGATTGACTATGTAAGTTTATGTAAAGAATTTTCTAATAACAATAATCAAAAAGATACCTTAGAGTCAGAAGAAGTTGGGTGAAAGTAATCAACAACACATTTTAAAATCAGAAAAAATAGATGGTAATCAACTAATCATTGCTTTTTTGAAAAAAAAGAAGATAACTTTGAAGAAATTGAATTTATTAAATTGAATACGAAGTATATGCTGATTTAATGACACTATTTGCAAAACATAAATTTAATAATGCAATAGGCAATATTGATAAGAGTCCTCTTCCAAAGTCCATTGAAGAAGAACACAAATATATGGATAACATGAACCTGCCAAATTTAAAGTTCGGAAAAACTTATATTGTGACTTATAATAATAAAGAATATTATCTTCACCATTTGTCTATAAAGAATTGTATACAAAATATTTTATTAATTTCTGATATAGCAGAAAATTTTGCATTTTCTTATGAAAATCTTAAGGCATTATTAAAGAAGCATGCCGTAATGATTTGGTAACATTTCGTCTGAATTCACTTCGATCAAGACCTCTATTGAAGCTCTCCGAAATGAAATGATCCAACATTATGCAATTGCCTAAAGGCTTCAGGTCGATTTTGATCAACTGAGTGTGGCCAATCATTCCTCTAGTAGTGAAAGTTCTTCTAGTCGATTATCTGATTCATCTCTTGAAGAAAATAGGAGCCGTTTTAAGCGAGTTTTTAATTCGAAAAAAGAAGTGGGGGATACTATGGATTATGCGTTTGAAATTATTAGACGTGAACTTCGTGAACTTACTGGGGAAGGGTACTGTGAAAGTTTTTATTATGGTGAAGGGATCCAAAATTTAACACAATAATGTATGAGGATGGGTAGATAATAAAGAATCACTAGTAGTTTAGATAATAATCTTAGTAGTGTAAATAATAATGCGGAGTAGTGAGAAGGAACCGCCATATTATGGTTTAGGGGCCGGCGCAATTCTTCCCTTTACTCCAATATCTCCTTTCTCACATATTACTTTACAAAGCTTTATTTCGAATTTTTTAAATGGGTGTATTTTAGAATATCTTATACTTCGAATTTTAATATTATAATTTGCCTCTTTACACTCTCATGACATAAATCACGAGATGATACTTTATTTTAATAGAAAGAAATCGCCAAGAATTAATCATTAGCACGAAAAACCATATATTGCATACAGCGCTAATTTAGTCCTTACAGCTTATTCCAAATATGTTCTATGTGAATGAGTCTTTTTCGCTTCCTCTAATTACTCACTTGATGTCTGTCTGCATAGTATCCTGAAATAGAATTTGTGTCAACTTCCTTGTGTAATCAGAGTATTTTCGTATTACAGACTTACGATTTTTCCATATCTAATCTCTTCAAATTCAAATAAACCTCATTTAGTTTATGTTTTCGAATACGTTTACCCAAATAAATAAACCTCATTTCGTAGTTTATATTTTCGAGTACGTTCACCCTTAGTGATTTACAATACAAGACGTAAAATGGATCTACTTCCTAAGTGCCTTCAAGAGTTAAATTATCCCTGGTAAATGTGCATTGTTTTCTTGTGACCACAACTTATATTTAACTTGCCCATTTTTTGATATAGATTTTTAGAAGAATAATGTCGAGAAGTTCTTAAATTTTCGGCTCAACACAGGTGATTTGAAAGATCCATATACAGAGCACTATCGCTATCAAAGTGAGCTGAATACTCTCAGCAAGTATTACACTAAAGAATCCGAAATCGGCAAGAAAGTGTTGAAATTGCAAAGAGATTTCAAGGTAATCATATCATTTTGTTTAGTTGCTTTGGCGTGGAATACACGGACTACTTTGCAGGTGGAATGCTTGCACGGACTACTTTGTGGGTGGAATGCTCTCAGGGGAAAGGGTGGAATGCTTGTCCGTAGTAGTTTTTGGGTGGAATGCTCATATGAACTACTTTGTGGGTGGAATGCTCGCAGGGGAAAAGGTGGAATGCTCCGTTCATAGTTGGTTCTGCGACAATTTAACGGATCCGTGTATAAAGCAAAGAAATTGACATTTGTTTCTCTTTTCTTATATAACAACCTTTTAAGGAGGAAATTCGGTAAAAAACTTCTGGAATCTACAAGACAATCCGAAATAATCAATAAAGAATCTGAATTGCAATGGATAGGTTGTCTTTACAAGAACTATCTCTAATGCTAATATTATTCTAACTCCTTATTTCTGATTTTCAGAAAGAAGGAATGATGGAATTTGAAAGCATAGGTCTACACCATCTTAAGGAGACCTCGTCCGTGGTGCAAGAAAAACAAATTACATCTTATAAACGGAATGCCTCCAAAATCGATGATGAAACAGTTCTACTATACAACCTGGTAATACATCAAACTCGTCTTTCATAAATTCTGTATCATATATTTTAATCTTTTCTCTTGTTGCGAAATATTAGCCTTGAAACGGAAGTTGAATGAGAAAGAAATGATCATAGATTCTGGCAATAATCCGTTTTATGTATCTGAGCATGGAAAGGATCCGAAGAATGCAACTAATCAGAAAATCGAGAAACAAAATTCTTCCTCGGAGTTGCCTTCTTCTGATGTAGGGCCCGAAGATAACGATGAAATAATGTTTGATTTCACACGTGTTGAAATGGAATTGCTACGGGAACAATCAAATTAGGTATGCCATATATAAAGTCTCTGGTGTTTTTATCTGCATATCTTAACAGTTTGCTTTTCGCTTTTAGTGGGAGGTCGGTACGCTCAATGTATCGCAAAGATTTAAAATCAGATATACTTGAGAAAGCGAAGACTTACGAATTAAAATGGAGTGACTTTCATGAGGTGCTGTAAGTATTTTGGATGTAATAATATATGGATAATGTATTATGCTAACGATTTCTATTTATGTTTGATAGAGCATTGTCTTCGATAATTGTTTTAAGATTGCCTTGTCCTTATCCCGCTCATATTTTCACTAGTCGGGAATGGCAGACGATTATTCATGAGAATCCTTACATTGTAGCTGATTCAGTGAAAAGTGCATTTTCACGTGATCACCCATTTATTCATCACAAGGCATCGCACCCTCTAAACGTGAAATACTATTTACCTGAGAGACAGGTTTTTTCGAGTGGGCAAAAACTTATTTGTCACGCATTATTTGTCATCTGTACTTTCACGTGCAACTGCATAATACCGTAATGGCGGCCCTGTAGGTGCTTTTTTTCACGGTTACGCAAGGGTAGTTAAATTTTATCTTCTTTACGGAATGCATCGGCTGACTCCTTGGAAGGCAAGACTCTTTTTTTGTCAAGTGATTCCGAAATTGGCCGAGCGGTTTCTCGAATTTTTAACATGTAAGTCTTATAACATGTATAAAACTGAGATCAGATCCGCCTTAACTTTTTTTTCATGTATAACAGGTGTAGTAGTGTTCCTGATGTTGCCCCAACCAAAACATCAGAGGATGAGCACTGTTTTAAATTGTTACACCCAATCATTTGACCACTATTTTTTACTAATTCGGTTGAATCGTGCGACAAGTGGTACTGCAACAAGGCCGGATTTTTCGTGCTTGGTCAACGAAATTCCTATTCTGAATTCAGAGATTAAGCCACCTGGATTTACACTTCTCCAACAACAAAAGATAGATTGAAGGTACAATTGCGAGGGCGTAAATCCATCAATCAGTTGTTAAGAACGAAAAGTGGTCCAGAATAAAACGTAATGTTAACAAATCAAGGTATGTATTCTGTAATCGATAAAGCTTGATTTCACTTCAATTAATTAAGTATATTAAACCATACCTGATCCCTTCAGGAGATTTGGTGGAATCATACGTTATGGATCTCAAATACGACGGACTTTACCAGTCATGGCCTTTTTTAACCAGCCGACTGGTTAAAGATAAAGCAACCATTCCTTTGTTGGAGTCAAACATTCGGCACTTTATGGCACTAGAGGTACATATATACCATATATTTCATTTTTCATTTTGCAATGAAATAATGATATATTTCATTTATATTTTGCATTGTTAGGGACGCATCAGTAAAATTGCCGAGAACTATAATTGTCAAACTTATCAAAGTGGCACAAGTACTCCGTCATTGCAAATACAATAATATATTCGGGACTTACCAAAAAAAGTTACTTAAATAGGTGTAGTTAGGTTAAATGTACAGGTATATTGTTCAAAATGATGGATTAATCGGTTTATCTTAAAATGTAATCTTTACGCATAATCATGTAATAATCAAAAAAATAGTAAATATAATACTTTGCGTTATTTAAATAAATCAGCATTTAAAGTTTTAAGTTTACTCAATAAGACCTAATCACGAAGATGCCCTGGAATAACTACATACGGTCTTTGCAATACTAAACATACCTAAGGGCAATCTGATTCTCTTCGCATAATTCTTTCTTGAGTTGATCTCGTGCTTGTTGTTTGATAAAATTATTGGGATCTCTATGGAAGAATTCGATATATTTTTCATGTTGAGGATCTTGTACTTCAATCGCAAAATTATGTCCTGGATAATATATATCAAGTTCTAATCCCTTAGGATGTTTAGGAATTTTCAAGAAATCTGGTCGGAATACCTGAAGGTGGTCCCAAATATTTAGAAACAATTTCACGACATAAATTTTCATATTTATTCCGACAAATTGGACACCAGGTATTTCGATCTTTAATAGCATTAAGCGTTGCATGCCATATATGTCCTTTAACACATTTCCATAATAAATCTGAATAGTTATTAAAATATGAGGTAGAGAGATTCCGGCTAAATGCAATTTGCTTGGCTTGATCAATATCACAAGCATATCGTCCAGAACAATGGGGACACCATGAATTTGCTTTTTAATATTACTAAGTGGTGCATTCCATTCATGACCTTTAGAACAACGCCACAATAATGCTGTCATGCAATTAATATATTTTTCGGAGACATTTTCCATTTCTACTATGTGCAATTCTTCTAGCATTTTCAAGAGTATGTTTAGCTACACTACGACAGTATGGACGGACACCAAGTATTATGATTTTTTACACTAGAGAAACAGGCATTCTACTCATGGCCTTTAGAGCAACGCCACTTTAAAGGAGTTATGTTATTAATATAATTATCAGAAAGACAAAATCCACCACACTCTTCAGCAATTGTGCAAGCAACATTCAAGGATAATTTTAATCGCATTGAGAATTAGTAGGTTTTACATATATGAATTCCTATTCAAAATCTGTATAAATTTGAATCCTATAATATTATAGTATATGTTGATAAAAATCCACTTTAAGTCTTTAAAACCACTAAAAACGCTATAAATCACTAAAATCTGCTATAATTTCACTATACCCGCAAAATGGTTAAAACTAATTACTATTCTTCACCACTTTTGTGGTGTATATAGTATGTTCCCCTTCTTTGCGAAGTATATATGACTTAACAAATGTTTACAATCCAACAACAAATATCGTCAATGGCTTACATGGATGATACACAATGGATTTCGGAATCAAAAGATAATTTAGAAGCCATCCTAGAAGTCGCTGATGACTTTTTAATTTCACTGATATTCAAGTGAACAAAATGAAATCAGAACTTTTACTGAAGATACATCAACCTCTTAATTATAACCTACAACTTAATTTTGGCAACCAACAAATTGCTATTAAACCTTTACGGCCATCACAATCTACACGAATATTAGGTGTTTGGTTCAATATGGATTGCTCCCGGCGTTTTGTGTTGATCAAATTAAAGAAGTTTTGAAGCTATCTTTATCAATGAAACACAAACGTTTAATTGACAAACAAGTCTTGTATATATACAACGGTCTCATCATCCCAAGGATCGAATTTTGATCGCAACTTACAGTACTTAATAAGTCCGAATCTACCGCTGTAATTGCAACACTAGGAAAATGTTTAAGAAAAAATTACATTTGGCTTTGTCGCTTTCAAATAATAATTATATCTATAACTTTCGAGATCTGTACGAGCTACAACTCCAAGCAAAAATTTCAAATTATAATTTGTAAATTAATGCTCAAGGCTGATTCGTATCCGAAAATTGCAACAGTTGCTATGGCTTTCTAGTTCACTTTATTTAATTCCTTTTCAGAATTTACATTCTATATTTAACCGTAATTTTCATTATCGAATGTTACTTTATCATTCACAGCAAAATAGAATTTTGGGAGGAAATATTGAAATTCATTCTATTCTCCCTCATTATTTATTCATGAAATGTTTAAAAACCTTAAAAAAAAGATCACTTATGTTTTAGAACAGCTTATAACTTTGGACGGAAAATCCATCCTTAATAGAATGGAAGGATTTAAAATATTGTCCCTTTACACATCTTATATCTCCCTCTTTAATACCTCTGTTTTTTGAATACTTGAAGCAAAATATTATTATTCCTAATTCTAGTCTTTTCGACCCGAATATCGTACTCTTTTAGCTCACAATTTTAAAGGAGTTTCTATTAATAACCCTTCGTTTGCTAATAACAACACAGTTTGGACAGTTTTTTGGATCGACAAATTCAACAAATCGTTTGCCGGCAAAAATATACACAAAGATGCTAAAAACAAGAAAATATATGTTCAACATTATCAGGTCGACCAACGAGTAGATATAGCTTATTTGAGTCTGTGCAATGGTTGCGCTCTTAATAACCACCAATCTGGTGATTGCAAATTTATTGTACCAAATAGAGATTTGGTTCTAATACCAATTCAATCTTACGTCGCACATCGAATCAGCCTCAAACAGCGCGTAACTTTAAAGATCTTTATCAACAAGCACAATTTTTATATTATTTCAGAAACAATTTTAAAGAATCTTGTTCCATGAGCTTAGGATTTGCACAAGCTTGTGACTCTTCACCAAAAGTTATATTTACTTCGGCTTGTCAACATTGGCCATCGTCCTACCGTGCTGAGTCTTTAGCTATTTTAGCTGCTTTAATCGTCTCTCCATCACAATATGATATTACGATTCAATAGATACGTGGGTTCAGTTTAATCCTTCAAACCATTCATCACATATACGAAGTACTGTATTTTCAAACAACAAAACAATTTGATTGTATGGAATCAAATTAATGAATTGTTCGTTGTCTTCAATTAAACGTATGTTTAATATATGTTGAAGCACATTCCGGCGATCCCTGGAATGAATTTATTGATAAAAAAGTTGCCGAAGTTCATAATAATAGTGATTCATCTATTATTACGTTTTTGACAAATAACATGGATAACATTAATTACGTATTGAAGTGGAATAATATTACAGTTGAACAATCACCAAGAAAATTCATATCCCAGTCTTCGAAGGTTAAAGGATTTGAAGAATTTTTTAATTTAGCGCGAAATACTAAATATCGACGTAATTGTATAGATTGGAAGATGACTTTTGATATATTATCAGGTTCCGAAGTACCTAACGATACCACCTTCAAATCATCTGGTGTTAAGGCGGACTCAAATTTCTCTTGCACTTATGGTCATGTGTTTATCACGTGAATATTCTTAGTGACATTTTACGCGATTCGCAACAAAATTGTTGCTAACATTAATAAGCTTCTAATAATAGGATCTCTTATTATAATATATCGTTTATTGATTATATTTGGATACTTCATCAACAACGTTTTTATTTAACGTTTATTGACTTTATTAAAGGCTTCGTTCCTTTATCGTTGGTACAATTTTTAACATCTCAATCTTTTAAGGCTGGGGATATTTATGACATTGTTGCTGAATTAAATGGTTTCGTTTACGAAATGTGATGGAAAAATATGGAAACCTCGGGGTGAGCTTCAGCTTACACTTGAAAAAAGATTTTCCATTAGTAAAAAGAAAAAAATGGATTCTCGTTTGTCTAATAATAATAATAATTTTATTTTTACTAATAATTTTACTCTTTCTAACTATTTGAAGATTTATTACCTATATGCAGATTATTATTCTGAAAATGATTATATTATTATTTAAATTTAAAATAATAAAGATAAAGATACATATTAGTAAATTTGATAATTTTAAGAATAATGCAAAATTTAATAATAATAGTATAATACAATATGGTAATTAAGCTTCATAATTGAAACAAAACTTTTGAATTCTTTCATATTAAAATTTATAAATTCTATGCAAAATCGGAGACCCGGATTTATTTCGATATTGATAACGGAAAAAATTCCGATTTTATTCCGATAAAAAATTACCAATTATAGTAAGAAACTAGCCAGCTTACATCTTAATGCAGGCCAACCTAGGTTGCGCTAGTGACACGACAATAATTTTAGCCAAACCCGATTGAAATGAAGTTTTTTACAAATTCTATCACGATATAATATGCAATAATGATTGGCTAGTTGTCATGTGTCGAATAAAATTGAAAAAATCATAAAAATTCCGTTATTCCATAATATACAGAAAAAATTCCGATTTATTCATTTATTATAAAAATGCCGGGTCTCTGCGGCTGCCATTGTTTCTGAAGTCACATGATTCTGATCACCTATCACCTATAAAACCTTGATCTGATATCTGTTTGATCTGTTTGTACTGTTGCTTCCCCTTTATCTTCCCTTCGATTTTTAATAATGAATGTGGCACAGCAAGCGGACCTCAAATTTCGCTGGGTTTCAAATTCTTGGTAATAACAATAATTACAACAATAACAACAATAATTATTGTGATGGCGTAACACCAATACATTTTATATTTTAAATATCTCAATATCTCAGTTTCTTAAAGCGTAAATTCATTTCTTCTTGCAAACTTTATCTCGCAATGTACCGTCTTCTTCGCTATTCTTTTACACCGAAAAAAGTTCCTTTTCCCACTTCTCAGCAGCTTATCTTATCGTCTTATACTATTAAAGGCAAGCTGGGCTGCTCTACTTACTTGCCCACCTTGCCCACCTCTCGGCGGCTTATCTCTACTTCTTCTACTAATGGTACGGATCAAGTTTCCGACATGTTAGATGAGTTCTTGGAAAATTGTGTGTATAAAGACAAACGATCAGCATTCAAGTTGCTTCGCGAAGTCGAAAAAAAGAATTTCAACCTTGAAATTGCGAAAAAAGACAAGGATCACGAAATTGAACTTGCGAAAAAAGATAATGAATTGGCTGTTGCCGCAATCAAGACGGTGAGTAGTACTTGAAATTTTTTGCAGCAATAAAGAGAGTTTTCATTCGTAACATTCATATTATCTTAGGGTCATTTAAATCTCAATTATCTCAGATTAAAAGGAGCTGTACATCTTAGGGGTGTCTTTGGTTAGTAAAAATTTACTTACTTTCACTATGAATATTTTATTGACTTCTATAATTAATCTCCAGAACAATGGGAGTTGTTTAACTTGGGTAGCATTGAAGGAAACCGAGGGACCAAGTGGACCAAGTATTTCAGCACACATAAAAATGTATTAGAAGTTTTTAAGAACTTTTGGCCGAATCCAAACGAAATCGATACTAACCGCGTTGTAACAGAGATGAAGAGCTTTTATAAATGGTTATCTGAAAGGATCCACAATGCACATGCATTTGGGGACTATGTAGAATGGCGTCGTAATACATTAACACCTGTGCAAAACAAAGTGGCGGAATACATGTGTAGAGAGCTTAACATTGATTATCGTATAATTGAAGCTTCTGAATCTTTTGGAGAAGAGATTGTGTTGACCACTGGTGAGGTTACTCAAACAAATACTAATAATATTGGCGACTTGGCTCAATTTGTTCCTTAATGATTTATATTTGTATTTTGTACATCAATTGATCTATTAATCGTTCTTTAACATTTGCAATAAAAATTTAATAATAAACAAGAATTTAACAACCAGAAGTTTCATAAGTTTAAAAGATTTTGTCTGATATTATATTGAGTAGAAACAACAGAATGAACAGATAAATAGTAATTGCGTGATTGCAAAAGTTATCAATGATCCGAAGTTATCTAATAATTTTTCCTAATTGCCAAGATGTCCCTAGGAACTTAACCGAATATATCATCAAATGGTTTGCTGGAGTAAGTAGGTATCATAACAGACTTTATCCAGCGTCATGTCTTAGGCACTCAGCTCGTTTAGCAAATATTGGAGAGGTATCGGATGGATTGTAATACATCAATAATAGGTAATACTAAGTATTACTACATGATCTCCGGAGAGAATCAAGGCTCCATCAAGCAAAGCCCGGAGAAAAATTCCCCGAGCGTTAATATTTCTATCTATTTCTATATCACAATTCTTGCATTTGTACATTTTTAATCCTTCAATCTTCTGAATATTTCCACACCAACTACATGTCTTTGATGTGTAAGCTTCATTTTGAATTATCACATAGATTCCTTTCTCTTCTGCTTTTGAAATCAAACGTTGCTGGAATTTGTAATGAGACCAACAAAGCATCTTTCTAACTTATTTCCTTCTTATCTTTCGTGCTTTTCTGTTTCACCATATCTGAAACCTCAAAAGGGGGAATAATAATTACATCAAATCATCAGTTAAGAATTTGATTGTTTTTCAATGAATCTCATTCTGCAATTGTTTGATCTTTTTTCACATATGAGAGATAGCATTGTTGACACGTAATGCTTTCTTTCCTTTCGTTTTGAGGTTGAAGATGCTAGTTTGTCTTTTTTTGATATAAGATCATCCATATGTTTACATAAACAAAAGATACGTCCTATATCATATTCTCCTATTTTACCTGCACCTTTTGTTGGGGAATATCATGTGAATGGAGTACGAACTCCTGGATCAATTGAAACAACACGAACTCCCGCTTGTGTTTCGCAGAAAAGTTTTTGTGTCTCATAAACCCATGCGAGTTTCCACTCATTTGTTTGACGAAAATAAGTAAACTTGCTATCGCAAGAAATCTTATGAGGAATAGGCCATTTATTATTTTTACGCTTTTTTTCAAAATGCAAAGTCCATAAAGCACGTTTGTTACTGTTTAACATTGTGATAGGCTTGTAGCGATGTGAAGAATGTTCATACATTAATGGTGTATGCAGATAAGTTACATAAAAACGGTAGATGAAAAATTTTGAGCACGAATGGTAACAGTTTGTTGTAGGTCTTTACGAGTCCGAAATGATAAAGAACTAACAGATTCACTTTGTGCATGTTGGATATTTCGCTTAATAACCTCATTTCTAGCAGTTAACGCCTCATCAATTGCTTCATCAGTTATATTTGCAGGAGAAACATTAAATGTTCTGCGTAGTTACATTCCTAAACAAACCACAGCTCTCAAGAATTTTCTCTCACCCCAAATAGCTGAATTGATAAGTTTCTTATCATTTACTTTGTCAACATTTATTCCAGCTTGGATATCGATATCACTAAATAAAGAAAGTTTTTGTTGGTGACTCATAGGATTTACGTATTTCTTTTTTTAGATGCCATCTTCCTTTGTAAAATAACACCTTTTACTCCACTTTACTACAGAACTATAAGCAAACCTCGCTAATCCCATCCAACGTTTCAATAATTGTTTCTGAGAATGATTGGGGTACACCTTGACTTGTAGTGTACGATTGAGAGTTACTTCTGAGCGTTTTCGTTTAGTGCGTGCCCTTATTGCACTGGCTTTCATCTTCCTGCTTACTTCGCCTGTTTTGACGTTCTCGTCGATGTAGGGCAGCTCTTTTTCCTTGCATTCGACAGATAAAGACAGTGTGATCGCAAGGATATCCTAGGAAAGTTTATGTTCATCGGAGGTCGTATCGTTGAAGAGTACCACGAGTTTTGTAGTGTGAAGGGAGAGCACATACTGGATGAGGTCGAAGGCGAACCGGCAGGGTCAGTCACGATGGGTAACCACAATTTCAGAGACCATTCCGTGATTTGTCCGTTCCAATAAGGTCTTAATCCCCGGTCGTTTGAAGTTGACACCCGAGCCGATATCAACGTACGATGAGTTCATAGGTTGGAAATCAGGTGCTGAGGATGTTTCTGCTGTTCAAGGTCTTCTTTTTGCTTGGCACTAGAGACTCGAGTGTAGAGGAAACCTTTTTTGGCGGTGGTGGTGGAGGTGGGTGGTCTCAACATTTTGTGAAGTCAACTCTGGAAAAATATAAGATATGTTGTAAAGACGAGTACCAGAAGGAGAAGTTTTAGCAGTAATCTTTCCTTGCTTTAACCAACGACGCAAGGTATCTGATGAGATATCAAGTTTCTTAGTTGCTTGATGTGCGGATAAATACATAAGGAGAGGAAAGATGTAGTTTACGATTTTCGATTTGTATCATATGATTTTCATTTGAAGAATAACAATCCGGTTCATTGGATATTCACTGAATATGTTTCAATCTATTATTTATATTTTTATATTAATTATTTTACTTACTGTTGGTTATTTTTAATTGAATTCACGGCAATTTGACAAACCTCTTTGATACCGTCCTTGATCGCTACTGCTGCAATTTTTATAAATTACAAAGCATTAATGTAATTAAAAACAAGTGTTAAAAACAACATTATCATTATTATTATTATTAATTTACAATTTAGTTTTTGTTAATCATTAAAATAAAGTACTACATACAAAGAGAAAGTATACTAAAACATTTCAGCGATCCTACCTCCTACAAGTGCCCCATTTCTCTTTAAAATATTGAAGTTTGACGTGGGGACTGCTCAATGTAACATCCTAGGATATCCGGATTATAATCAATGAATATTCGTATTTATTTAAGTAAATCCGGATATTCTACATAAAAGTAATAGGATATTCACTGGATAAGCCATTAGGATCATTCACCGGATCCAAACTCTAATTATTGGAAGCAGATCACGCGCCATATGAATGATGTCTTTTGAATCACGTGCACTGTTTTCTTGCAACTCAGTTCTCAGTAATAGTTTTAATTTTTGTATCATTTCACTGGCTTGATATAAGAACCACATGAGAAGGATAGAAGAAACGAGAAAAAAAGAGGTGGTTAGGCATATTTCGTTTAACTTGCTTCGTTAAAACGCCACAAAAAAATCGTTCAGGAATTTAAATCAGTGAGTAGAACTTTTGCATTTCGATATCGTTCATCAAAGTTATAGACGTTTTTATAGTTTTAAAATATTTAGTAAAAACAACGTAAAATTCAATTAAGAAAAATGCGAATATCTAATGTTGACGAACATGATAGAATTTTTAATATCCAATATCCAAAAAAAAATATATGTAACAGTAATAAAAAAAAATTAGATTTTCACATCGCATCAAATTTAGATTGTTCCTTTCTGGATTTTCTTGATGGCATAGCTCTGTTAATTGTAGGTCCCGTTCGTTGATTCATAGGATTCATAGTTGAATTGATAGTTAGATTTCTGACAACATTGGCCTGTTTTTTTGTCGTTCGCTAAAAAAACCAATCATAGCATTACAGATTAATAAAAAATTTACCTCTATTATAAAAATTACGAACTTCTTACCTCAATCCGGTTCATTGTAAATTCATAAGCCTCATACGTATTAGCAACCAATAAATTCTCTGGGAATAATTCATTGATACATTTCTCTGGAATTGTTGACGGCCAGAGATTTAATGAACTATCCTGTAAATAAACATATAATGGTTCCATTTCTTTTTGATTTTCTAAAGTTAAAAATCGTAACATGAATCGTTTTAAAGCTAAAGCGAACGCTTCTGCTGGTATAATTCCTTCCATTGTAGTTGTTTGGTTTTCAAAATCTACAGATTGAAGTATTGTGGCTTCCATATCTGCCGATAGAGGAATCTTATATTTGTCGTGAATATATTTAATTTTAACATTGGCAACTTGTTCCTCAACGAGTTCGTATAAAGACACCAAATGTTTAAGTCGTAAATCTATATCTAAAATCTTGGAGAATCCTGCATTTTCATATAGTGATGACAATTTGATCCACTGTAAAATATAGTCTTTAATAGATTTTTCTCCATCTCCAACTGCCGTACGTTTGATGAAACATAAAAGAATTTCCAATGATGATAATATTTCTGAAGCGTTATCAAAAATTGATTCTGAAGCATATTGTGGATGAAGCATAAATGAATTTCCAGCCCCTAATAAACTCAATTTTTCATTAGAGATTGGCTCTTGAGTTATTAAATTCTTAATGTCACTAAGAATTCGCATACACCCTTGAAATAATTCCATGTGATATGGGTAAGGTTCTAGATATAATTGAGATTCTGGTTGAGTATCTATATGAACCTTTTCGAAAACTAAAATATTTGCCAATTCCGCTTCAATTTTTGTCAAGTCATAAACTATATCATTTCCTCTTGCAATCGCTAAATTTCTTTGACTATATACAAGAATTTCTTCATTCCAATCAAAATTTATGATATTTCCGAAACGAGCATGATCAAGATACATAGATTGAAGACAATATCCATTAGGTATAACTGGTTCTGCTTTTGAAGTTAACAAAACAGATTGTTCATCTAGAAAAATGAGAGTTCTACATGTTCCAGGTGGGATTGTTATAACTTCTTTTAAGAAATTATTTTGCAAGTTAACTAAATATTCTAATATTGCGCATAAGAAAATTCCTGCATCTTTTGGTTCAATTAAGCCAAAAACAACTGGAAGGTTATAGCTCATGATTGGTTTATCATTGGGAAGTTCATGACATTGATATCTTTTTATGAAAGGTATTACCGTATCCCACCCAAGTTTAAAGTCATTAAAAGCGGTTTTTAAACTATTAGAACTTTCTTCATTGGATTCTTTTTCTATAAATTGTCTGAAAGTCATTTCACCTGCCATTTGTCTTGTTAACTGATATCCAAGTTTGGAATTCAAGATTTGAACAAATTTTACGATAGGCAAAAGATATTTAATTAATCTTAATTGTTCAAAATATTTGAAAAATATTGCGAGGAGTGGATAATTTTTCGCTCTTGTCAAATCACTCATATAATAAGCACGAAAACTATCGAAATTATTCATTCCGATCGTCCTCCATAAACTTGGTAAATTCTCACTTCGATATTGTTTATCCATGACTGAAGTTTGATTGATTTCACTTTCAATTAAATTAATCTTCAAAACTTCGCTTAATTTCATACGATAATTAACTACTGTTTCAGTTATGTTTTTAATTTGTGGTAAAATATAATTTCTACTAAATTCTGTTTCCCAATTTTCGCGTTCTGCTGATGTTTTTATTTGTTGATTCGGCAATGGAGGTTTTTCCATCATTAAAGAAATTAGTGAATGGAATATTAACGCCAAATTCTAATTAAAAATTATGAAAATTTTATTACCAATTTTATTCTTAATAAGATCAAACTATAACAACAGAAAAAAATATATTTAAGAGAATACCTCATCTGAACAATTAAGAAGATCCTTGAGAACGCTCCAGTCATTTCGGATGTGATCCATACAATATTTTTCAGCATCTGTAGCGACTACATTATTTTTTTGAAGGAAAGCAAGAGCAGGTTGAGGTGAAGACGCTCCAATAAGAGCATGAATAATTAAATGTAATATACGATACGATATAGGTGTGAGAGATCTGACGGTATGATATGGATTTTTATCAACTGGTTCTCCAATATATCCTGTTTGATCATTTACCGTTACTCGAGTAACTGGGGAAGCATCAAGTCTAGTATTTCCTGCTGCTGGTTGACCATAACTTGGCCCACCAATTGTATTTCTACATTTTAGACATTTACTAACTTCAACAACATTACCACAATTTCCAACGAAATATTTGAATCCACATTTACAGACATATCTTGTAACTTGTTCATTAACTGCATTTAATAATACTGATTCCATATCGGAAATACATGTTAAAATAAATAAGTTCTGACAACCTTCTAACTTGTGTAAATACATCGCTAGTTGAGATGAACTCGGTTCAACTGATGCATGAAGTGCGATAATATGTGTAATGACGGTTTTTATAAACAAATCGGTATTACAAATTTTCGGCTTAATTTGAAGTATAGGTTGTTGGTTCGACAAGATTTTTGTTGCAATTGTTTTAAATGGTAAATTTAGATTGTTCATTCCAGCAAGTTCTTTGGTCAAGAAATCGGCTATTTGCACTTCTGAATGCTGCCATTCTCTTGAAGCTCTAGAAGCATGAAGACGTACAAAGATGAGACCCATTAAAGACAATTTTGCTGTTAAAGTCGCTTTTTGCTTTATGTTTCTCATGAATTTTTGAAAAGGTCCCTTATTGCCCATACTATAGAAAGCCATTAAGCTATTTTCTGCTTCATTATATTCAGGTAAATTACAGTATGGATTAAAAGACAAACGACTTTCTTTATTATTTTCCAAATTTAAAGTTTCAAGCCATGGTAAGAGATTTTTCTGAACTTTGCAAAATTGTCCGATATCATTAATTGAAAAATCCCTTTGACGTAAATCTCTTAAAAAGTAAATTTTGAGTGAAAAAATTAAAGGATGATCGAACTTCATATTATTATTAATTTGATTAATTAATTCACTACTATCAAAATTTTCTTCCTCCATTTTGTTATATGCAATAGGACTATTTTTATCTTCTTGAAGGAAATTGTCCCAAAATTGACGAACAAATTCTTTAAGAAAAGCAATCGAAGTTATTTTTTGCAATTCTGGCGTTTCTTTTCTACATAAAGCTTTAAGAGCCGGTACAAAAAGTGTCGCTAACCTTTCCAACTCTTCATTCATAAAGAATGTTTGTTCAATGACATCACAACATAAAGTAGCCATGTTCGTATCTAAATCTGTTAAACAATTATTAATAATATTTAACCGAACAGATTGACTTAAAGCTTTTTTGACATTTATAATTATTGTAAAGAATATATTCTTATTTTCCATGTCTTCTTTAAGAAAGATCTTTTCAATGATTGGTCCCATCAATGGAAAAGGTTCATTCGAGAATATTTTCTCATAAAGGCTTATTCGGACATCTGATTTAACCGGAATCGATGCGAGACATCTCATGATAAATGATCTTCTTGGAATTAAATATTTCTTATTATTATTATTAAATTTATCGAAGGCAATGCTGACAAATTTACTAGAGAGAACATCTTGTTCGTCCGAATTTAATCCAAGTTGAACAATTTCTCTAATACTATCTAAAGGAATAGTCATCGTTCCAACCAAATCGTTTATAATATGTAACAATTGTAATTCTGGTAAATTCTTTGCTCGCGTAATTTTACTAGCAAGTGACAATACTTTTGTGACGTCATGTTGCCATCTATCGATCAAGATATTTACTGCGCCTTTAAAATCTCGACAAATTTGCAACAACATTAATCTTGTTACTTCTTTAACGAGATGGTATTCCAAATTTTCTTTAGCAATGGATCTACCCTGAATTTCGATGTCTTTAATTATTTGTGGGAACATTTGAGCTAATTGCAATAGAGACAAAATTTCATTAGCATTTTTCCACCAATAAATGTGAAGGAAAATGGGTTGATTCACTTTATCAACACCAATGAGTAATTTCAAAATTGACGCCAATAATTTTGTATTCTTGTGTTCATTATTTGTTGTTGTGATAACGGTAATAAAGTCATTGAAATACAACTCAGGAGCCCATTCAAGAGGAGAATCTTTCAATTGCGGAATTGAGGTTAGGATATTATTTTTAAAATCTTCCAAATGATCTTCGATCACGTGATTGTATAGTTCATTAGTTGCTTTATCAATACGATCATCATCCTCTCGTAAAAATTCTAATTCTTCTTCATAATATCTTTTAAAATTATCAATTTGTTTCATAAAATAAAGTGAAAAGGGGAATTCAAGGTCATAAAAACTTCCTATTTCTGACATACTATAACCATCGGGTTTTGGATCCTGTAATTCTTCAATTTTAATAATTTTTTTATCCATATAAATTTTTTGCCAAAACTTGAGTAATTCCTCATAATTTTCTTTTGAAGTTATTCGATCATTAATATAAAAAAATGTTTTTATCGCTGATAACCTTTCTAAAACACATAAAATTTGAGCTATAGGTTTCCTAACTAGTGTTCTAATATAAGCCTGTAATGCCGCAGAAAATGAAGTGTATGGATATAAATTTTGTTTATTTGATGCGACCTTATATTGCCAATTAATTGTAGATTTTTCTTCGATCCATTCAAGAACTCTTTTTTTCAAACATTCAACAAATTTTGGATATTCTAGTATTTTTTCGCTTAACATCCTAATGAAAAATTATCAGCAAAAAATTTTGATTAAAACTACACAATAAGAATTTAAACTTCAAATGTTAGAAACGAATACTTACTTTATATGATTAACTGATTTATTATTCGATGGATATTTCATACATAATAAGCACCATAACAGTTCTTGTAATAAAATTTTTTCGAATGGATAAACAGAATTGACAATATGAGAAAACGATCCATCTAAGAGGCTTGATGTAGGAATGTCACTTCCTGATAATGTTTCAATTGTCATTTGCTTCCAGCCACAAATGAAATTAAAAGAAGTTAGAGTGGCCTCCCGATCTCGATGAATATGAAGGATGATACACGCATGCTTCATCTGTTCCGTTTTGTTTTTCTTTGTTATAAATTCATTTCGGAATTGTTCAATAATGAATTTAGCTAACTTAATACATCCAGCATTGACGGTAGTTACATCACATTGGAGAATTAACAAATGGTCAGTTGATTCTAACCAGAAATGTTTTATCTACAAGATAGTAAGATTTATACCTTAAGTTAATCGGAAAAAAAAATGCTAAGTCATTACTTAAACTTACCCGATTTGAAAGTTGAGCTTCAGTTTTGAAAGTCGACAACTTATCTACTTGACAACTTACAAGTACTTGTAAACAAGCCTTAATGTCTGTATTAATATTAGAGAACGTGTTAACAATCACTAGATGTCCGCTGGGATCTGTCAACGATTTTTCTTGATTAGCAAAATAATCGTAAAGACTATCGTGATGCTGTTGATTAAAATAAACAGATTTCCATTGATCAATTTCATCTCGTTCTAAAGCTGATCGTTCAGCTCTCACAATTCCATCAGAAGATGCTGTTGCAATTATACATTCCTTGCATTTTTCTAAAATTTTATCATCTTCGGCTTCAGGGTTGTTCTTTGTAATATCAATGATTAAGCTATGTAAGGTTTCATCTTGATCAAATCCAATGAATAAATCTTTTTGGGTGAATCTATTACGTAGTGGAGTTACTGAATTATCTCCAACCAAAGTTGATATTTTTCTTGCCCAATCGCTTAAATTTTTTACGAGTAACTTTTGCCTATTATTAAGCGTATCATTAATCGACATTTTTTGTTTTTCGAATCGGTTAAGAAGTGGAGGATCAGCTTTATTCAATTTCTTCTCATCCATAACAAGAATGCATTTAAAATTGGGAGAAACATAACTAAAAATTACGAATCAAGACAATTATTCCTTAGAAAAGTTTTTGTTTTATTTAGTAAAAAATAATTATACTTACAGCATAGGATTAGCATATGCTCCAAGTGCAACTCTCGTAAAATATTTAACATTTTCCTTATTTCCCACCACGATATAATTTTGATTCCATAAATCGTAAAGACTCCCTGTTGACATTGTTGAAGCAAATAAGTAATTTTGTATGTTTATTAAGATATTGAGAATAATAATTATGTGAGGAATTACCATAAATAATTTCCAAATCTGTTAAGATCAATGGTCTGCCCTCTTCGACACACATCTAGATGGTATTATATAATAAGTAGAATAAACAAAAAAAAATTCACAGAGATAAAAAAATAAACCACTTACCATAATTCTTCTCAAAACACTGTAAGAATAATCCTCCCGGTCATCAGGAAATTGTGATCCCAAAATTATAACAGGGTCTAACTTTCTTCTTCTTAACTGATAAGTTAATAAATTTACGACTGAATCACTTTTACCAATTACCATTAAATGACGTGCATCAGAATCATCTAAATTTGAATCGATTAATTGCTCAATAGGAATTGGTTTATAGAACCACGGATTATGATTATTAAACATTTTAAGAACATCTCCAAAGTACTTTTCGTATAATTTGGAAATATTTTCTGTTCCTCCAAAATTACGGGCTATTGCCATTTGAATATTCTCTGGAGTCATTTCGTCTAATGAAAGTCGTTTAACCAACGCGTAATAATCACGAAGACCATGAAAGTTAGGTAGAGCTTGACCGTATTTTTCATAATCCGAGTATGCTTTAGCTAAAGGTTCTAAAGCACCTCTTTGACCAGGTCCAATAACTTTTGTGTTTAATAAACGTTCAGCGGTATCAACCAAATCATCCAAATCAAATTGTGGCCTTTAAAATTAATATAAAAGTTATAAATAAAATAAATTGATTTCACAATTATTATACACATAAGGTTTTAAAAATTTAATCTTACCTTTGAACAAGTAATGCGCGACTACTTTTACTATTATCTAAACGCCAGTTAGATATTCCTATTACTGAAACAGTTGGTCCTGTGGCCGGATAACTTGGTTCAAGCAAAGAATGAAGTACTTTTAGCGGATTGAAAGGACTTGTTTCAGCCAAACCGACTAATAACAAATTAATAATGAATGACCCAGATAACTTGATATGTAACAAAAAAAAAGAGACCAAGAAAAAAAAAATCACCTTCATCAAGCAAAACAACACTAATAACTGGAAATTGTTGAGAAGTTGTTTCTTGATATTTATTTGCTTTATCGAAAACTTTTATTATACCATCAGAAGTTGAAGATGAAGAACCCTGATGTGGAATTAAGTAAATTTGTGGTAATTTTCTAAAATATCTATCATTTGAATCAGATCCACGTAAATTTGAGCTTATGAGACGAATTGCTAAAGATTTTGAAGAGCCGGGTGCCCCTATAAGGAATAGGGGGATGCGTGTCAAAATGCATACAATCATCACTAGAACATTTTCTAATAAAGCTTCATTATGTGCTGTATTAGGTGGACATTGCATTCTATTGATGTAATCTTCTTGTTCTTCACGAATAATTGTAGCAAACATATGTTCTTCTACACAAGCTTTGTGACGTTGTAATATTTTTCCCATTTCATGACGATATTGTTTGCGTAATTCTTGTTCATATAACCGAGAATGATAACAAAGACTAAGTGCTAAAACGTAAGATCTAGTCAATACGGTTGGATTTCCAGATGGTGGATATTTATGTCCTTTTTTGTAAACTGGTCGATTTTCAAGAGAATTATGAAAGAATTTCACTAATGTTATGGCTCGTTTAACATCACGTAAGCTCACACTATATGGTTCCTCAACTTTTCTTATGAACTTTTGAGAAGCAAATAAGAGCTCGGTGAACACGGGATGAGCTAATTTTTTTAATTCTTTATCAACCATAATTTGAATATATTTATATTCATCATTTGGTGTTAAAATACCATAATCCCAAACATAATCCAAAATTTGATCTGGAAGTGGTTTGACTTGATAGACAAGATTACTTTGTTCTTCATATTTTTTGATCTTAATTAATCCAACATCACTTTGAGGTTTTGTGCGAAGTCGGTAAGGATTGCAGGCGGAAAATAAACGAATATTTGGATGAATAAGTTTACCATTAAGCATTCGATGAGATATTAAATCAGCAAGTAAACCTATATGATTACAAGTATTGATTTCATCAAAGAATAACCAAATTTCGCCTTTTGCCGCTTTTTTTAATGCATCATTCATGAATTTCATGATAGTTTTTTCATCAATTCCAGCATGAAGATTAAGAGCCTCGAATTGAACTTCAACCATCAAAGCTAAATAAGCAATTAAACTTGTCTAAAAAAGAAAATAAATAAATTATTAAGATAGATGATAATGACATTAATAATAAAATAATGATTACCTTTCCACATCCTGCTTCACCACAAACTATGACCGGAATATTCGCACGTGCTCTTAAAAGAATTAATGCCATTTTTATTAAATTATCACCAGATAAAGCATATTCAGGAAGATTGAGTTTTTTCGTTGATCTCCGTGTCAAATATTCTAACTTTACAAAAAGAGCATCCGCGGACATCGAATTATAATCATCCAATTCCCATTTTGTTTTATCTCCAATTACCTGACTTTTTAATAAAGTCTTGACATTGTCATGAACTTTTGTTCTGTCCCGATATAAAGCTGATATTGTATCAGGAGATTGAGAATTGAAAAATACTATAAGATGATTTGAATCGTCCCATTGTACAATTGTACCAAGTCTAGTATTTCCATCATCTGTAGATATAGATTCTAATTGTACAGCTTTAGTTTTAATAGATCTAGTTGCAAAATCTTTAGAAACATCTATTAAAGTTCTTAGTATTAAGTTTCTAATATTATCTTCTTTTACCATTAATCTAAGATTATCTACAGTGAAGAATTGACTTCTTGATAATCGTACTAATTGATCTGCAAGGACATTAACAAATGTTTCGACAAATCTAAATGAAGAAATATCTTTGACATCTTTGTTGAAGAAATACTTCTCAATAAGATTTTGACAGCGTTCTAATGTTAATGGCTCTTCAATTGCTTTTCCTGTATGAAAAAAAATCTCTTCTGTATCTATTTCATTACGATCCAATAAATTCAAATAATTACAAACAATTTGAATTGGACTATTAATTTCTCGAGAAATCCTCAAGTTTTTAATGTCCCAAGTTAAATGATTGTACAATAAATATCCTGCCATAGGAAGAGATTTGAGTAAATATTGTTCAGCAGTTGAGGCTATTTCAATAAATATATGTGTAGGTATTTCTGATGAAGGTAGGCATGCTATATCGACATTAGTAGAAACCATACCCAGAGTTAACAACTCGAATAAGAACATGTTAACATCTTCAGGGTATTCAGCTGATACTATATTGATATGTAAACTTTCTATAGGTCGCAGTTTACATTCTTTAAATCGACGTACAAGTTTGGCAAACTTCATATTATCACTTATTAAAAAGCTATGTGGAAATTTCCTTTTACCGGTACTATACTCCTTAATCCATTCAGTTTTACCTTGTCCAGATAAGTCAGAAGAAACACGTATAGAATTTCGACACAATTCTTTATAAATTCCTTCCATAGCTTCGGTATTTAAGCCATTAGTTACATGAACATCTGAAGAGAATTGATCTAAAATGTGATGATGCGTTCCAGCTTCTCTGTAACAAATAAGTGCTAAAAGATAATCCTTTTGATCTTGCATTGATCTAATTTGATTAACTAAATCATATTGTAATTCAAAGTCTAATAATTCTAAATTTGCAATACAAAATAAATTATTCTCATAACCATTATTTGATGCAAAAAAACTTCTTTTTATGAAGATTGTTAATTCCTCCATAGTGGTCGAAGAAGTACATATCAACAATTGCCACGGTTCGGGATAATATCCATGATTAGCATATAATGACATAATGATGTTCGGAACTTTGGTTTTGTCATTACAAACAGCAATAGATAATTTACCCTTTTTAACTATGTCCAACATTATACGTTGCCCATTAGCTTTAAATTTACGTAATTGTTTTGGAATATTCTTAAAAATTCTTTCTAACTCATTTCCAATTTCACAAAGAATTTTAAAATAATCTTTAGATCCACTCGAATTTACCTTAATATTCTTATGGAATGGTAATTTAGCTTTGCTATTTACAAATCTAATTAATGTTTTGCATTCTTCTTCATTTTCTTCAACTAATTTTTTTGATGTATAATAATCATAAAATACTAAAATGTGACGAGAAGGGAAGAATGTTAAATAATAACATTGTTCTTGTGCACGATCAACTATATTTTGCCTATAAATTTATGTAATTTAAAATTTTTCGTTAAAAAATTTTACGAAAATGAATAAAAAGAAAGGATAAAAAAAAAGATGAATATTTTACCATTTTTTGAGTTCATCCTTTGAGATTTTCAAATAATCCCTCATTTTATTGGTTCCTCGTAATTTCTTTTCAAAATTTCTATAATCAAAATGTCCCATTTGTATTAACATGGATAATACATTGATTATTTCTTGTACAATATCAACTTGAACAACAAATTCATCCATAATATTCTTTGATATTTTCCCATCCTTTAAATTTATTATATCATTTTCATTTATGTTTGGTTTCGCGATCAAAAGTGCTCGTCCACGTAAATCCAAAATTTCATTTATATTATACATCATCACATTAGTTTTAGAGATATAATTTAATGTAACAAAACATTCATCCTCTTTTTCATCACGTGCAAAAGTATAAGTTCCATTAAGTACAGCATTCTTAATTTTTTCTTTAGTAACTTCACCACGATTTGAAATATTTTTATACATATTTCGTAATGCCATATTGTTGCTACTACATAACGCAGTCTTCTCCCCTAAAGTGGAATTCTTCTTAACAACATTTGATAGCGCATCTAAAAAGCTAGCAATATCTTTCATTTTATTCTTCTTGTTCATAAGAGGTAATAAAAATTGCTTGACTTGAATAAGTGACGAAACGGTATCTTCTTGTATCAGTCTTTCATCCGAAAGATCATCCACACCATTGATCAAGTTTTTAATATCATGTTCAGCAATTTCTTTTAAAAAGCCTATAAAATCATCTGCATTTGACAACTCTTTTATCATTTTCCAACAATCTTGATTAACATTTGAAAGATTTTTATCAAGTTGGATAAAAAAACTATTTATTTGACTAAGTTTCACGGAATCATCTTTTAAAGTACGAATTGATCTTGCTAACCAATCATCATTATTATGTGGTACTTCAAAAAGTTTTACAACAGTTTTTAATTCTCCAAGTCGTTCAATCCAATGAGGAATTTTTGAAAGATGATCAAGAGTTTGAACAAGTCTTTGGTTTTTATTTCCTTTAAAACCTTCCATTAAATCAAGTTCTGAATTAACATTCTTAACATTTTTCCAAAACAAAGCAGCATCTGAAATTTGAAGTTTTTCCCATTGCTTAAATTGTTTACTAATATCATCAAATTTTTTTAAAGCATTTGGTATTAAATATTGTGAAATGTATTCTACTTTTGTTATAGTATCATCTACTTGAATACAAGATTCAAAGATATTTCGAAAAGTTTGAGATTGATGAAATTTATAACAATTTCTTGCGCTTTCCAAGGTTTTTTCATGAAATGTCCAAAATTCTGATGATAATACTTGTTTTAAATTCAATTTATTCGAATTTGGCATACGTTGTTTTAAATCTTGAATGTAATCATTTACATCTGTTACTTGAGAAATTGAACAAAATCCAGTATAAAATTTGTAAAGTATATCAAGTTGAAGTTGATAATTTGTGCATAGTTTTTTAAGTTCCACAATTTCATCTTGAGAGATAATCACATCACCTATAGATTTCTTTTTAGAAACAGCAGCATCAAAGATTTGAAATAATTTATCATCAGAATATTCAAAGAGTTGTTGTAATAATTTTACATCAATCGTCTTTTCACGTAATAATACACCAAGTTCGTTGATAGTTATTTTAACATGTTGTACGCATGAATTTGAATGAAGTTTTTTAACATTCCCAGTAGCGCGCAATATTATGCTCCAGAATTGACCATTTTTTAAAATATTTAAATAAGATTGAGAAGGATTAGATGTGGGTGATTGACTTTGTAATCTATTCATGATATGAAATAAAATTTCTTCGCCCGTTCTAAATTTAAAATGAATTATTAAAATATGAATATGTTTATTTATTTAAGAAAGAAAAGAGCTTTTAATAAGATGATAAACTTACGAGCTTGGAACCTCCAAAGTTCGACCTAATTTACAATCGCATATTGTAAATATCGTGATAATTAATTGATCATTAATTTGTTGAACAGTATTATTAATTATATCTTTTATCATATCTAAAAATAATATTTTGATTTCCTGTTCTTTTATTTTAAATAAAAATTTCGTTGTGCCAAATATTCGAGATTCCGAGCATGCTCTGATTCTTTCTATAGCTAATGCTGTTAAATTCTGCCAAACATTTTTTCGTTGACCAAGTAAAGGATAAATGCATTCTAATTGCGTAAATACTGAAAAAACAAAGTTGCTCTCATTTGAAGATTTTTTACTGTTTGTGCTCGTACTTGTGTTCATGTCAAGTTTGGTTAAAAGATTTTTAAACCAAGTTATACAAATTTTTGGTATTCTCTTCTCTTTATCAGAAAAATCATTGCGGAACCAATTATCTAAAAGATCTGGGAATATATTCAATAATTCCAAAACATTAGACTTAGATATTAATTCTAATGATCGAATAACTTCGTCTCTACGCCAATTTAAACTTTCGTTATGAAGAAGTTTTCCAATAGCAGTGATATCTTCCTTTGTCCATTTTCGATTAGGACTTTCAAGTAAAAGTAAAATACGAAACTGAAAAACTTCTGAAAAATCACGTCGACAATCTTTTGGAAGTTCTGTAAAATGAGATTCTAAGGCAACAGCATCATCATGGGATATAATTTCTCGAACTCGTACAATGAGATGTCTAATGATAGCTTTATCAAGTTCATTATTGTGCAAAAGAATATCATTCCAAAGTTTAAAAAGATAATTCATACTATTAGTATTACATAATTGAATTAACCACTATAAAAAAAAAAAAGAAATTAATTATTAATTAAAGATTTAAAAAAATGAACAATATATATATAAAATATAAAATCACCTTTGCAATTTTAACGTAATTTTCAAGTTTAATGTGTTTAATATAAGGTTTGATGATTTTAACCTCTTTAATGAAATTCGCTAACAAATTTTCATTAGAATATTTTAAGAAATTTAGATAATCAATGAAATCATAACGAGGATCAACTTCAGCAGCGATTGTAAAAATATTAAGCCATTCAAATCGCATATGAAAAGCATTATGTTGTACTAAAGTTATAATGGCCATATACATTCTATCTTTAGTGTTTGAAGGTAAAATTTCTTGTTTATATCCCTCAAGTGCATGAAGCAATAATTCTGATGGAAATTCATTTGGTAATTGTTGTAAGCCATGTTTCCATGAAGTATGATATCCTAAGAGAAGACATAAGAAAAGTCGTTTGACATTATCATTATCATCAATGTGTTTGGTAATGAAATGAAGATTTGAAACGCGGATCGTGAATTCTTCATGAAGAAATAAAATATGTTGATAATCCATAACTTTATTCTTAAGGTTGCTAGCTTTGATAGAATTATAAATATAATCCACAAAAGCAAAGTCACGTATATCGTGTAAATGTAATTGATCATTGTTTATCCATATATCAAATTGATCATTTCTCTCAATATTCAATATGCGGTTATCTTTAGAACCATTTCCTTCGTGTAAAATTTTTTCTTCTCTACTATTAAATATAGATTTATTTGCATGAATAGCATATTTGTATTGAATTTCTTTATTTACAAGAGAGGATAAGGGAACAGTAACTGGGTTGGATTGCCAATATGTTTGATTTTGAGGATATGGTTGATGAAGTTTTACAACAGGTTTTTTCCAAAGTCCTAGTTCTTCTATATTACCAAGAATTACAGGTTTTCCAATTTTGTCAATATCTTCTGGAAGATGAACATGGAATATAAATTTAGTTTCATCTTCATTCTTATTACCGACAGGCATCCATCTATTGATTACATTAGGAAACCATGCATTCATATAACCGCTAGAGGACTGCGATCCAAGATTTGATTTCTGATCTTGATTATTATTATCTGTAAGTGGTTCAGATGTATTTGCGCTATGAGTACTGTCAGACATAGACGTATTCTGTCTATGTTTATTTTGAAAATTAGTAGATTCATTCCTTGGTTCATTAATATGATCGCGTTTTAAAGGTGGAAATGCATCGTTGTACTTTCCATCTATTGAATGTAATTTCACTTGACTTCTTGTATCATGATCAGGCTTTGAATCAAAATCAGACTTCATTGACCTCCTTTCAAAACCGTAAGAACTTGTCAAATTTTTGAGATTTGTATAAGTTTTGCGTTTGTCGTCAAAATCTGTCAACCCTCCCTTATTAAACAAATTGGACTTGTGCCATTGGTTATGGAAATTTTCCTCATAATTTGAAGTTTGAGATTTACTTTCATTTTTGTGTTCAATTGGGAACATTCCAACATGATCAGGTAAAGATTTTCTTTTATCTACAATTTCATTTCTTTTCCAGTTTTCTTCAGATCTCTGAAGAAGAGGATGCTTGAATCGGTTTAAATCATCACGATCAGAAAATTCTCTCAAATCTTTACGAATTTCAACATTTTTAGTCTTTCCATCTGATTCTTTTAAAGAAATTTGTTTAACTTGATTATTTTCGCCAATATCATTTTCGGACAAAGTTGAACCGTCAGAGTTGGTATTATCCTTCCGATTAACAATTTGATTCTCAATTTCACTTGTAACTTTTTGATCATTTGAAGATTTATCGGAATTTAACGCCGAATCTTTCGATCTCTCTTTCCCATTATCGGATTCAGGTGCAGATTCATGTTTATTTTTTACATTTATTTCGTAAACCATCTTTAAACAAATTAATTAGTTTATTGTACTCTAAAAAAAAAAAATCGTTTTTTTAAATGTTTTTTTTTTTTTTTTTAAAAAAAAAAAAAAAGGTTTTTTAAAAAGATAATCACTTTATACTTTTTTAGAGAGAATGTAGTGAACGAAAAAAAAAATTCTCATGCTAATCAGTCATACATTATAAGTAATTCTGACAATTCTTGATATCTCTCCCATACTAAAAGTTTTTAATCTTAAATAAGTATAGTGATATTATAGAAACAAGTAATCACATGATGTTAATTTTTTAGTGGAAAAAAAAACTTTGATGCGATTTTTTTTCTATATATTAATGAAAAATTTTTGTATTGAAATCACGTAAATTGTTTCTATTATGATCATTAACATTATCAATCATTTCAATCATTTCGGTAAAAAATAAAGGTGATGCGCAGCAACTTTATTTTCGATTTCGAAATAATAATGTAAATTACTTTGTTTCCTTAAGAAGTTTAGTTTTATTAATGAGCATAGCACATTAATAATAAATATAGTAACCGTACAATCGGCTTAGGAAATTATTGTATTTCTTCATTAGCCATTCTTGTTTGTGAAAGAAAATGTTTCACGAGATGAATTTTTAAATAAACGACATATTGTATACATGAAAAAAAATTCTTAAGATTTATCATTAACTTTTTTTTAAAATATATTGTGATACGTTACATTGTAATTCTCCTGATTATTTAAAATTTAGTTTTCATTTTGTTTCAGATTATGTAAAATCTTATAAATTATAATATTTTGATATCAGTACAAAAATTGTAGAATGTTTCAATTGTTTCATGTTTGTAATTCATTAATTTCAATATTTTAAATAGTATATTAATCAGCATCAGCTGAATCTTGATTATCAAGGATATAAAGTATATAACAAAGTTGATGACTATAATCTTTTAATACGAATATACGATTAATACGACTAATACTTATAAGGTAATTTGATTGAGATATTTTGAGATTTATAATGACGAGAGGCATAAAAAACGTAGAACCTGAATATAGGCATTTATACTATATTATGGTGTAAACACTTAATAAGTACTTAGGTACTAACCAAGTCCAACAATGTGAATTTTTGATTTGCGAACTTTAGTATATTAATAATATACTTTTTTTTGACCAATAATATATCAATGACGAATGATATTAAATACGCTCAAAATACTCAAAAAGTATGTATTTTAGCAGATACGATCACAGTTTACTGTCATAGTTTATTAGACGTTTATTATAAAAATCTTCTTGTGAAAATGGTAAATTTCCATTGCCTTGGCCCTTGGGCGTGTACAATTTGTGATTATCTTAAGTATACACCAAAAAATTTTACTCTTATTCATTGAAAAAATGTGCAGTATATAGGAAAATTAAACTAAATAGGATCGACAACACCAAAAGTATACTTTTGGCGTTACTGATCAAAAATCATGTGCAATAGCAGCATTTATAAATCCAAAATCACTCTAAAGTACGCGTCTTTCTATTTCTAAACTCTACTTACGGATTATATTTCTTCATATAGCTCTTTTTATTTTTTACAAGATGTCTTCCAAAAATTATAGCGGGTAAGTATGTTCTTATTTGTTGGAAAAATAACATACTAATTTTATTTTTTTAGACAAACTCAAGAGGAAGCTTACGAAGCCTTATGCAGTGTTGAAGAAGAAATTAAACGCACGGCTGAGTTTAACCCCGATCCACTACCTGGTAAAATATTTTTTATGTCTTTAATACAAATAACACAAGTCCAAATAATTAAGTAAGTTCATCTATTTTTAGGAAAATTTCTCGTGGAACCTTTATCTGTTCTAACAAATAAGCCATCATCGTCTTGGACAAAGAATGACGTGATGCCAGTTGTGAAACTTTTATCTGGGAGAATAGTGGTAGATGGAGTCGGTGAAAATTTGGAAGGGGCTCAACTTTACGCTGGCATCAGTGAGAAACTCGCTGAATATCTCTGCGAACATCCTGACATTCATGCGATCATGGATCTAGTATATGTAGTGGCTGATCTTAGCACAATAAAAGCTGCCATTCCAGTACATCAATATCCACCAAGTGGGAATCCTGCTACACCGGTAGTTCCTTTGATGGGTACTACTCATACGTGGGTTTTCCAAGGGCAAGAAGGGTTGAAACGTGCACAGCACTTCATTGGTTGGCTTCAAGATAGAATACCCGGAATTAGAAGCATGGTATTCGTCAGTCCAAATCCGGCGGTATATTATTAACTATTACAAAAAAATTCGAGTAATTTTATAAATGTATTTCCTTTATCATTATGTAATCGTGTAATAATAAATAATATATCTTGCCGCGCTGTTGCTTTGCTAAACATGATCTACGCGAAAGAAAATTTGAAAATTTTTTTTTCTACAATTATTTAATTCATTCAAAGTGTAATACATTAGAAGCCTTATACCCTGCCGGTAAAAACAAGGCGCTAAGGTGGCGAGAATTGAATTACAACTTTTAGTGTGATAAAAAAGAAAATTCGATCATCACTCAAAGAACGCTTAAAATTAGGTCAATAATATAATTTAAATTTTGAAAAGTCTAGATTTTTTGGTTGAAATTTTATCATTGTGAAAAAGAAGTCTAATTATCATAATAATAATAGGTACGAAAAAAATTATAATTTTTATTATTTTAGTATACAGACGTTCAGTTAACACCGTTTTATTATCAGCGATTTATGTTTTATTGTTATGTCGTAATCTGAGAATGTATTTTACGAATCTGATGCCGATTAAGTTGAGTAAAACAAAAACAACAAATTATTTATTAATGTTTATTCTTCATTTATCATGTTAAATAATAAATTATAATTACTGCAGTCTATATTATCGTTAGAATTATTAAATTCTGCAAAAATTTTTACGATTTCGCATATGTATACGAAATAACCCCAAGCAATTCATAAAAGGTAACAATAAAGTGTTTTCTGTAGAATAGTGTGTAAATCCTTCCTTTTTGGATGATTTCAGGCGGCATTACGTAATTCTGGCCCTGAAGAGATGCGTAGAGCTAATAGTAAATAGTACCGATCTCTTGTACTATATATTTCTGTGAATTATCTTTATTGTGTTTCTCTTCGCTCTTATTTCTTTTAATTATTCTAAATAATTTTCTGGTGTCTTATATTTCTCAAAACGCGCTTTTATTGCTTTTTTTTTTATTGGATCCGACGTTTATATAATTTACAGTAGTTGTACAGCTCTAATTGGTTTGTATCTAATTATTATAACCATTAACACAATCTTATAGCCAAAATACGAAGGCTACTTGTTGCATTTAATATAAAATACCTGGAAAAAATGTGGACGAAATATTTTAGCAATTTCGTCCACAAAAGCAAAGTCATCTCTAGTTGGCTGAAATCATGCATCAGATGGATTAGGCCAGATCTGAAGAAACTTATTCGAGACTTTTGGGAATTTCGACCATTTGTAGAAATTTTGAAAAACCTGGAATTTTCATATACGGCCGAAATTTCAAAGACATAGCCGAAATTATTTAAATTTGACCGAAATTTTCTGAAGCCAAATATTGCTCCTGAATTAAAGCTCCGCACGAGCTGACTTGCGAGCCGGCTCGTGCGGAGCTTTATCCCGAATTGTCTGAGATTTAAACAAGTTCTTCGCCAGAAGTGGTTTGCGCAGTGTGTGAATGTATGAGTAATTGTCCGGAGCGAAGCGAAGGACTATATATGTCTACGCACTATGATGATCTATGGAAATAACGTGTAAATTTTCAATCACGTGAGTTTCTCTGTCCAGGAATTCCTAATCAGCAGAAAATTACCGGAATTCCAAGGCGTTATGCTGCTAATTAGTAGAATATCGCTACATCTTTATTTATTATACCTCGCTCCGGACTTACAACGGTTCCCGTTTCCTAGTTATTTCTCTATTGCAAATCAGCATCAAAGTCACCTGTAAATTTCTCTTCATTCAATAAGAAACTTTTCCATTCGTTTTTATTACTAATAAAATTGGTAACAAGTGCAAATATAATAATATGTAAGTTCGTGAGCGATAATCTCATTTCTTGAAAAATGAAACAGTCATAAGAACTAACAAATTTAAGGTTTTTACTGTTTTGGATAATTTCGGCCGGAGTTTCACATTTTTTGAAACACTGACATTGATCGTGTATAATATTTTTCGCTTGTTTAATCGTTCGATTTTTTATATCTTTTTAGTTTTATTAAATTGACACCATGATAGTATATTCGGAGAGGAATATAAAAATGGGTTATTATTACACTGTAGCAGAATACAAAATTCCATTTTTATCATTTTTATCTAAAAAAATCAAAAATATTAATGGAATATTAAACCTAAAAAATCATTTCTTACACCAAAGTAATGTAAAAAAAAAGATTTGTTGTACGTTTGGCTAATTGTTTAAATATTCAAATGGTTGATCTATAAAGCAGTGTTGGTATTTGGCTGCAACCAAAGAATTTTTGACCAACCCCGGCCAGGACACCGCATAAAAGTAACGTTTCTCTGCATTATTAACCATTGTTTAGGTAATTATGAACAAAAATGTTCATCGTTCATCTCCGTTGGCTTCAGAACGCGAATTGTTACCACCAATCCACAAAGATTTTGTTTTCACCTTCGGGACAAAGCTCATATATAGTGCTAATTCTGCAATACGTTGAAAGAGCATTGCAACACATTGTTAGATTGTCTTCATATCACTGTAAAGAATTACATAATTTTAATAAGATGGACATATTTACTAATTAATTTGATTCGTCTCATATAATAGCCAAAATTCTTCTTTATCAATGTTATATTATTAAACATATGATTTTATACACATTGGGATTTGTTTCCAATATTCGCTATAATGATTGTAATTTGTACCCCCAATCTTGACTCGGCTGAAATTGAATATTCACGTGCAGTTTGACTTTAATTATTGGTCAAAAATCATGTATGACACGTGACTTATTTATATATAAATCATGTAAATGTCATAAATTTCGATAAAAGTAACCAAGATGCATTAGATCTGACTATTGGCAATTTGAAATAAATAATAATATAAATAACTTCAATAAAAATCTGGAGAGAATGAAAGACAAGCAATTAGATCAGCTTTTTCTTTACACAATTGTTTCTAAAGTATTGGAAAACCGCTTAACCCTATAAACCAATCCTTTAGAATGCGAACGCTATACCACCTCGAAAAAATTTTGCTTTGAAAATGCCATTTTATTTACTTTTGAGGGAAGAATATGTCTCTTTTTAATCGGATCTGGTTCCACTTTCGAAATAGGTTATACAATTTACCTCTTAACAAAATATTTTTTTTAAAAAAAAAAAAATGGGAGAGAGCTTATATTTAAGAATTTTCTAATAAATTGTTCTCATAAGATTCGTGAATATTCAAAAGCCTTTCTTTTTTAATAGAAACAGTATAGAATCTTTATTAGATTAGTAATTTTGAAATTGATATTTTTTTTTCATTAATAATTTATATATTCAAATTTGTTCGCTCCCTGATGTCAACATATTTAGTTCAATTGGTATGTGTTATAGTGTAACACTTCTATTTGATATATTTTCATACTCATACGCAAATGCCGGAGCTATGCACGTGTCGTGGCATAAGTGTTACTATACGACTCTCAAAACCTTAACCCATACCCAAAGATATCTACATAAATTCTAAATAATACGTTAAAAATTATACAAGTAACCACTCACAACCAACAATCTATTCCATTTTGGGATTGCGTTAATAAGAAATCAATAAAGTAGAACATTATTTATCTCTTCAGCATATATTATTTACGATTGAATGCATGAACATGTATAACGTCATTATACGTATAAGGTCATGTATGCAACGGCTGATTAAATATTTTAGGAGAAAATTATTGCCGGATTAACGACATGATTATTTAATGACATAATTAAAAGAGGGTTAGTTAATAATCCACATAATAATATTTAGTACGTCAATACAAATGTCAATACAAATATGGATAAATACAAATATTTATCAATTAATCAATTTTATATCATAATTTCCGTTTTTTCATATTTTAATAAAAAAGTTTCAAATTATGTTAATTTCGATTTTTAGAAACGGTACCGGTATCTAATATATTGCGCCTCAGGTGACGATCTGTATCAACTGTATATAAAAGGCAATTTTCCCGAATTAATTATAGAATCTGCGATATATTTAAATAATATATTATGTACTGTACAAGTTGTGCAACAGCCATAAATTTATTTATAACATTAAAGTTATCTTATTTATAGCAATATCTAGGTTATTATCTATTGTCTGATTGTCTGAGATACAGTACAACACCGCAATTTTTTTTTTTACAAAAAATCCACTTGTTAGCCTGCTATTTAATAACTACACTCACTAAAAACTGAAAAAAAAAAGAACGAAAAAATTTTGTAAACCGCGCAAAATTTGACTCCTTGGACACGGACTGTCGTACAATTGCACATCGATGATCAATTCTGTGTATTCCATGTGGAAAAAAAACAAAGTCCTATTACACAGTTAAAAGCGTGCAATGAAGTCCACACGTTGCAGAACCCCTTTTTATATGTAATGCACGTCAAAACATCTTGATTAGATAGATTTTACAAAATTTGTAGATCATTATTTCAATAGAAAAAAAAAAAAATGAAAAAAAATATATTTTTTTTATAATATACGAATACATTTTTAATACATTTTCTGATCCAACGAAAATAAAGCAAAAGGAATCATATATTAATTTTTCCAATTATAAATGACGCGAATAAAGGATTTTTTGGTGTCTGTTTTAATACAAAATTTTCAATGTGCAATTTCGTTTAAAGCAAAGGGAGAAAAAATTATTAATATAATAATAATAAATCGTAAAAAAAAAATTATATAAAAATATAAGGATAAAAAACGGGATTAAGCATAAGTAAATAATAATTTGTGTCAAGAATAACGTTCCTATAATAAGACATTTCCCATCATTACCTAAGTAATGATAAAAAATTAATGCACTTTATATTTTTAATTTTAAAGAAGTAAATCTATCTTGGGACAACCAACTAGTATAATATACAATAATGAATATTAATTAAAAAAAGAGAAAAAGGTAAAGCAAAAAAATTTTTAAAAAACCTTGAAGTTTATGAAATTATTGTTCACATACTTTTAGAAAAACATCACTCCAAACAAGAATGCTCCAACAGCTGCTGCAATAACTACTTCAAATGGATAGTACCCTTCGGGAATTTTTTCCTGGGTCTTGACGGAAAATCCACCAATTGTACTATTTCTATTTGCTGATACTGCTGCCTCCTCACTCTTGCGTTGTCTCATTTGCGCCGCATTTAATTCTTGTTTATAATTTTCAATTGTGTGATTCAGACGTATAATTTCTTCCTGAGCTTCAAGCAATTGTCGTCGAAGTTTGGCAGGATCAGTTTCATCATTTACAGCTTTGGTATAATCTTCTTTAGGGAATGATCCAGCCATATTAGAAAACCGGTTAGAATGTCCATTCGTAGCAGTTGGAGGAACAGATCTGTCAGTGGATCCATTAGCTTTTTCAGCTTTACGTTCATCATGTATTTTATAAGGGGGTGGTGATTGATTCCTCTGAAAAAATAAAAAAAAATGTGTCACAAGTGTCACAAGTGTAAAAATAATGAAACAATGTTCGGGCGTATCGGCCGAATTCAAGTATTACAGGTTGATCAATNAAAAAAAAAAAAAAAAAAAAAAAAATATTAATCGAGGTTTTTATAATAATAAAATTAATTTTTAAGGTTAACGAGGTTGACGTACCTTTTCATCATCTTTTGGAACTTCTGATGTTGCTCCATTGGAAGTATCTTTTTTTGAGGTTGGTGAGGTTGGTGAAGTTGGTGAAGTAGGACTAGATGGTTTAAATGGAAGAGGTGAAGTTGGAGATGGTGATGTAGGAGATAAATTTGATTCAACTGGTGGTAAATATACGCATCGAATCTTGGTTTCCTTAATTGAATCTTTTGTTTGTTTTTCAGTTATACTCCACTATTTAGAAAAAAAAAGAAAAATTCATATAATTAATAAAAGATTAAGTAAATATTTTGTTTTTAAATAAGCAATTACGTTTTCATTTGTATAATAATTAAAAAAATTAATTATACCAGTTCCTGTAAAGATAAAGTTTCACGTTCAGCTGTAATTGCTACACTTTGTACCAAGAATTTATCTTTACATTTAAAATCTGGTGGTGGATCCTCTTTCATTGGTTGAAGAATAACTATAATTTAGAAAATTATTATTTGAAATTGAATCATTAATTAAAATTTTCATAAAAAAAAATGTGTCACAAGTGTCACAAGTGTAAAAATAATGAAACAATGTTCGGGCGTATCGGCCGAATTCAAGTATTACAGGTTGATCAATTAAAAAAAAAAAAAAAAATTCTTATTTTTAAACAATAATCATTGGTAAATTTTTTCTTATTTATATACCTTGGACATCAACACTCCCGTTTGCTTCAATTCTACCTGAGTTTGGTCTAACACAATATTGTTTAGGAGCAGTAGTTTTAACTTTAAAAGCTACTGGTTCTGGATTAGGATTACGCACTACAAGAACTTCTTTCACGAGTTGTGTGAAAGGACCTACGATCGTCAGTTTGAATATGGTAAAAAAAGAAAGGTTTTAAAAAAAGAAGATATTTTATTAATTCAAATGTTTTATTTAATTCGACATAAATTATTCTTCCTTTAAAACCACATTCACAACACGTTGATTGAATTTCCAATCATTAAACAATCCACTCCAAATAATACATACGATGAAATGCTAACTGACTAGGAGGCTCTAACTTAACAGACATTTTTTTTCGTTAAAATATGGTTATAATTTTTTTCTTTTGTTATTTTTATCAAAAAAAAGTATAATTTTCTTATTTATATTTTAAGTTGTACACTGCCTTTAAATAAATCGTCAGGGAAAGATTCTATTTTCTTTCCTTTTTTATGTAATAATAATAATATATTCTAAAGGTATTTCAAAATAGAAAAAAGTAGAAAAGTGGAAAAAAGTTTATTACGAGATGAGGCAGTGACGATATGAAAATTTATTACAATATCTTGATGACATATTAATACAATAACAGCTATAGTAAGATGATGAGAGAGGCTTTACCTCGAAAAACGAGTGTGTTACGTAACTTGTAAAAGAATTCCTTTTTCAATCAAATACATCATATCACAAGACAGTTTAATAATAAGGGGGGGATTTTTGATGTATTGGCCAGGAATTACCTCGGTATAAATCAGCTAATCACCATACAAATAAAATCAAAATAGTTTAACACTTTTCAATTTTGGTTAGTTTATTGATTTTCATGTTGTACAGTTAGTAATAATTTCACACTACATTGACGAGCAATTTTTTTCATATTAAAAAGAAAGACATAATTAATACATTTTTTGTTAATTAATTTTATTAAATATCTTTTTAGAAAAGAGTATCAATCAAAACCACATGATTTAATTAGTTCTATGACTTAATTCGTTTCGTTGATCTAAAAATTAAATTGTTAAGATCAGAGAATTGAAAGGAACTTTTATTATTGAAAATACATCATATAATCAAAAAATAAACAAATAGACGAAAACTAAAAAAAATTGTTCTATTCACATTCCCATAATAATACGCCATAATGCGGCCCCATAAAATTACAAAGTTATGAAAATTTTAAATAATGAGTACTTATCAACAAAAAAAAGGTAAATAAAAAACTATACATAAATCTATGTTAAAGAAGAAGGTGTTATAGTAGAAGATGCAGAATAAGTTCTACGAGAAGAATATGGTAATCTTTCCCTTTCGGTGGGCTACGAAATATAAACATCATTTGTTAATGATTTTTCTCATTTATAAAATTACAGCAATCTAATATGATGATTTACCGGTGGTCTGATAAAAGCCTTCAATTCTTCTGTAAATAGATTAACATGATGTTAAACATTTTGATATTCAAATAAAAAAATTATAAAAAAAATATAAGATCAGCAATTAAATTTGGCAATAAAATATATCTTCAAAGTTAATCTCGGAACAGGTCTGAATTGATATCGTCATCTCATTTAATACTTATAAATAAATTATAATAAATAATTACCAAGTTTATCATCCTCCAAGACCGAGAATTGGATCGGATTAGCTTCTATGTTATTATCATAAAGAACAGTCTGTGAAATTGATAAATCCGCACATTGTTTTGCCATTACTGCAAATGTACGTGTCTCATTATGATATCTAAAAGAAATATATATATTTTTTTAATAAAAAAAGCAAATAAAAAAAAAATCGTTATAAATATATAAATATATGAAATATAAATTTTATGATATACTCACGTTGTAAAAGCTTGCTTATTAAAACAATGCTTTTCTAATAGATTATCCAAGACACCTTTCTTGAAAGATTTTTTTATATAATGAAGCACATGGAAAATATAATATTTGTGTGGAGCCCAATCATTAAATTGTTGGGATAAAGAAAAACTTCCAGTATCTGGATCAACAAGTGGATGGAATAAACCATTATTATTTATTAAATTAAAAATAAATTTCACTGCAGGTGGACGCTCTGGGTAAGTAAAAACGAGTGTTAAGGAATAATAATATGATGTAGCTTGTCAAAGTTAGATCCATAGAAAAGGATATTCAGAAGGTATTTCAAGTTTAAACTTAAAGACCCCATTTTTATAATATCCTTTGTGAACAAATAAGACTCCATACCAAGCTGATAAATTAAAAAAAAAAAGAAAATATTATAAATTAATTTGGGTATATTCTTTAAAGAAATAATAACAAATATACTATCAATGCTCTTACTATGAAAATTATCTCCAGAAGGCATAACATAAACTCCACTTGGACAATGATTTGGGTTACGAAGGTTTGTACTTTATTTAATCGAAGAAGACATTTGATTAATTTTTTAAAAAATGAATTTATTTTTTTATTTAGAATCTTTGATTTAGATATTATCATACAAAAATAAACGTTAATACTAACAATTCAATCATTAAATCCATCTTCCTGAAACATTCATCCCTAAACTGTGGTTTAGGCTTTACTCCATCAGGACCACGGTCATCGTTAATATTTTCTTCACGGTTAGAGCTGGAACCAGTACTACGAGCGAACGAAGTTTTAGTTTCAATACTCATGAGGGAAAATGATTGTAAGTTTAAAAGAACGAATTTTTTTTCCTTGTTGACTTATATAATATGATCATATGTCACATATGTCAATTGATCTACATTTATCATAACTTTTTAGGATAACTGCGGGTGTTTGTTGTTTCGCGTGCTTTGTGTAACTAATATACAAAGATATTGATATATTGTACAATACAGTATTACATTGAATACGCTCATTTATTTTGAAGCTACTAAGAGTTATATGACTTATAGAGTAATTAAAAATTATAACTTTTATTCCTCCAAACTGTAATAAAATTTTTTTTTTTATTATAAAAAATAATAAAACAATAACATAATCTTTAAGCTTAAAATCTAGTTTCCTTGATTTTTTTTTTTCTTAAAAACGAAAATGATTCATATATATTATACACATATTCTTATTATCTATCGCTTAAAACATAATGTAGATTGAAAAGATCGGAAACTAAGCATATTAAAATTAAAAATTTAAACGTAAGAAAAAAAAAAAAAAAAAATAAATTTATACTTTTTCTTCCCCATTTTTTTTCACGAAAGAAATCGATTGTTTAGCTTTTTGAATTCCTTTTTCAGTAATTAAAGAATTTTTTGAAAAAGCAACTTTTTTTAAAGTTCCAACTTGTTTAGCAAATTCTGTGATTACATCAAGATAATTATCATCGATAAAGGAAGATTGAGGAAATTGTAAACTTATTAAAGGAGCGGAACATAATTCTAAAAATTGTTCTAAATCTTTTACAGAAAATTGTTCTCTTATAGAAATCGATAAATGATTTAAAGTATCAGGTAATTGAAATGCTACTTGAGATCTAAAAAATTCAAAATTTTTCTTAAATTCCAACGAAATGTATAATTTTTCAAGAAATGTTGTGTTAAGCAGAGTAAGAAAATGAGGCATGGTTTCTTTTTCTAAATGACCTTCAAATATTATGAGATTAGGACAACAAATAGAAATGGTTTTTGTCACATTAATCGGAATATCTGGTACGTTACGGATAACCATATTTTTAAATTCACGCCTTCTAAATCTTATTTCTCGAAGTGATCCTTTTGTTCTTTGAATTAATCTCGCCAAATTATCTAAACGTGATTTATGAGCATTTTTAAAAATTAATTTTTTTAACCTAAGGAAAGAAGTTGATGCCAAAGGAGCTAAAGTTTCATCATTAAGATTCATACAATCGATAAATATCATCGTTTCCAAATTTTTACAAGTAGTAACAGATTCTAATAGTAATAAATTATTAAATTGTACTCTCTCAAAATGTATAAGACTTAAAGATTTTGATTGTGATTCCAATGGGGTCAAAAATTCTGTTAAGAAACGAAAAGGACCTCTAATAATTAAATTACGTAAATCTTCTTGTTCTAATAATAGACTTGACATCTTACTAGGCTCTTTTCGATCCCCATCTAAATACATATCAAATTCATAAAAGTTTAATTCTAACGATGTAAGATTCTTACAGTATGATGACATCACATTCATTAAGGAACCTTTTTTATACTTTCCACCACAATTTAATTTTCTTACACGTTTAAATAAATGATATACTTCTGGCATTAAAGTTAATGATGATAAATATATATCTTGAACAAAAAAATCTATTTCCTCTGTATCATACGATATTATATAAATTGATGGACATTTTCGAATAAGAAATAAGCTTAATTCTCTAACTAATGTGAGACATTTTTTTTCTCCTTTTAAATCTTTTGGTCGACAATTATTACCGAAAATAAAAGCACAGGCCGACTCATATAAACCTTTATAATGAAGAGTTTTCACATATTGTGCATATTTAAATTCAGGTGTAGAAAAGGATGAATATGAAGAAGGATAAGATGAAAAGATTCCAATCTGAGACAAGACGGTTTTCGAACGAATATCAAGAAATTTTAAATAAGTTTCAATCAATTTTGCTGAAGGATTTTGTAATTTATCAAAAGGTGATTTCCAAAGAATTGAAGCTGCATTTTTAAACCAAAATTTATTAACTAATAAACATTTTGATAATGTTGACGCATCATTTGAAAAATATGAAAAAATTTCTTGTAAACATTCTTCTGGAAAAAATAGGGGCTTTGGAAAAGTTTTTTCATTATTATTTCTACGAGAAATTTTATTTGGTTGTAAATTAAAATCTACGATACTTGATAATGTAAACATTTATAATGATTATTTATCAAGAAAGAATGATAAAATGTGAAAAGAAAAAAATGAAGAGGAGACAATAAGAACATTTTTTAAGTGAGAAAAAAAAAAGCATTCAAACCAGCGAAAATTGTGTGTAAGAACAATTTTGTATATTTTTTTGTACATCAACATTATTAACAACTATAATATTCTAGTTCTTTTATTTGATTGCATTAAAAACAAGTGAAGATCGCGTCAAAAAATATTCGTTTCTTGATCTCCAGTAACGATTGTCAGTTTGATATCCGATCCAAAGGTTCATTTACGTAATGTCAGACTAAAAATACGCCACTCTTTGAACTTTTATATTTAAGATTAGATTCCAGATCTCGTAATTTTAATAATAAATATGGAGCATCAACTTGCATATATATCGTGGCCTAGAACGAAATTCTCTCATTGTATAAAAGACACAATACCCCAATTTGTGAATAGTAAAAAGTGACGACAAATAATGATCCACACTAGTCATTATTAGTAAATTATGATACCCCAACTTTATTGGTCCTTACCAAAAACGGGAAGAAGTTCATTATGTTTATCGTCGCTCGCGTCAGAAACTTTGAATCGAATTTTACTATTTGTTTTCATGATTTATAATAGTTACAAAATTAAATTAACGTATTAAACAAATTAGATATTTATAAACCGTAGTGATCAAATCATTTTCTAAATTGGATAAATTGGATAATATTCCGAAATTAATAATATATGGTCTATACTAAAAAGTGATTATAAAATACTTTACCAGAGTTTACCTTATTAAGACTAAATTAAATTTTACCATTTTTTTTTTCAAAGTTATATTATTATTAAATATAATAATTATATAATTAATCTTTAACTGTTAATGGTTTTTAATGAAAAAAAAAAAAAAATCTTTTGAGAATATCATGATAACGACTATTCATTTTTCTTTCTTTAGTTAATTAATATAACCAATATAATTATATAAAAATAAATATTATATCATACTGGTATGATTGGTCGATCAATCTAGATACTAGCCAATAAGATTTATCCGATCGGTACGGTCAAGTAAAAGCTTTAGTAATCTATCTTTTTTTTTACATTTATCCATTTTAAAATGGTCTAAAAAGATCTAGATTCATATTGTAACATACTACATAATCTATTTTTTCGGTCACTAGCTTTAAAAGCACGTAATACTTTGGCTAAGCTTCAATTGCTATTTAAAAAAGGAAGGAGCGAGTGTCATATGAAACAACAATGAAATAAGTACCAAATTCATAGTCAATTGTATAACATATGCTGTGGCTACGAAATATTTGATTTTTACTTTCCTAATTTAAATAAATCCGCGCGTTTAGAAAGAACGCGCCGGTAAAACAATTATGTACATTATACAGTACATAGCATATAACTTATTTGATCGACAGCTCAGGTTTCAGTTCTACATGATTATAAGAATACGATCGCCGATTTAACGTATTTTTAAAGATGATAAATGCTTTTTAAAAAAAAAAAAGGCAATAAACAATAATAGACATAAATAACGCTAAAATGGAATTATAAAATGTGAACTTGTGTAATGTGATATCGTTAAAATAAAGAAAATTGGCAACATATTGTTTGTAATTTGTAAAACTTATGAAAAATATTTTAAATAAAAGAAAATACTTTTTTTCGTACATAAAAATAACCGGCTTACTCTTTCAAGAAAGTTTTTTTTAGAAGTATAAAACGAAGTTTTATAAAAATAATGTGTGAATATTTTATAATACATTCTTAATACTCAAGTGTTTCGGTGATATTATTAAGAGCGCAAAAGAATTTCTTTGGAGGTTTTTAAGCATATTCGTCCCTCTCTTGTGGTACTTCATGTAAAATATGTACCCACGAGCCCAGGATATTATTTTTTATTTTACGCCGAAAAAATTATAGTTAACATTTGAATATTATTAAATATATTGATTTTTTATATATTTTTAATTATTTAGGTTTTACTTTACAAAATTATAGAATATGCAATTATTAAATTCCTGGCCCTTGGAAAATTTAAAGTCGGTACAACTTCGACAAATCTGGTGACGATGAAATACTCATTATAGTAATTGTTCTATATTCCTATAAAAAATTTTATCCGTAATTTCTGTAAAAACTCCGTGAATATTTATGGAAAAATAACTGAAAATCTAAGCAACTATAATTTCCATATCTTGAAACACGGAATAAATTTTTTTATAGGGTATGTACAACCGTCCTATATCCCACATCCTATTATCCCAGTTCTAGACCCATTATATAATAAGATTTATAATCATTTTATGAATGCAATTTGTGATTTTGTAAGATGTCTCATATCTTCCATAACCCCTTGTTATGAGTATTATGAGCGGAAAAGATTTCTTTGATGAATATATAACATCAAACACACTACGTTCATAGCCTGAATACATAATCAATCCATATGTGTAAATTATTATTCTTTTTATAATTAGATGATGCATTTTATTAATTGTGGTACAGTATTTTGTGCCAACTTTAGTTGTGGTCATTTTTTAAGTATAAAATTCTAACTCTCGATATGTCATACGAATTTACATGTATAATTATCAAGTCTATTATTGTTCTCGGGATCGGATACTAACTACGACTTTACATCGATTTTACATTATCGTAACTAACTTTAGTAATATAAGACCATTATCTTTGGATTTTGATATCTGTGAACTGTGTAATCTTCATTTCATACTGCTGCGCAAATAATCCTGCTTAGTAATTTTTGACATTTGTCAAATGATAGACGTTATGTGACACTATCGTCATTTATGCATAATTAGATTATGTAATGGAGTAAACCTAATCGAGAATCAAATGTATTATTATTTAATATCAGAAATTTAGGTATTGTATGACGTAATAACTGATGTTGAGTATAGTGTATGAAATTTACTATACTCCGTAGAGTAAAATGCGGATTTCAATTAATGCAAATTTTTTACTTTTATAATTTACTATTGATAAAGCTATTCTAAGTTTCTAACTTCAATAAAATTATTCTAATTTCTAATATTTCTAATGTAACTTTAACTCCCGCTCCTTCTCAAGGTTGGACAGTTCCATTACACGAACTTTTGCTTCACGTTCTCTTAATAAAATTTCACATTCTTTTAAAGCTAGTTCCCTCTCTCGATATTCAAGCTCATTGAAATTTTAAGTTTAAATTTTCTTTATTATTATTATCATCACAATTATCATCGGAATCAGAAATTGTGTGACAATTGTTTTGATTTTCTTGTTAGAATTTGCCCGTCATGAATGAATTATTGTTTTAAAAGCCACACTTTTCGTAATATATATTTCAGATTCTTCTATATCACATAAATTTGGCTATATAATTATTAATAATTTTTTTATTATATTATAGTTGTAATATTTATATTAAGTTACCTCTAAAATAAGGTCCTCTTCATAAATAGTTTCTTCTTCATTAATAAAATTGTTATCCATAATTTGAAATTGAAAAGAAAGTTATGAAAAAATTTTATTATTTATAGTTGTGTTACACGGATATACTATTATTCGTATTACTCATTGATTATTGTGGTACATATATACGCAATAATTGCAACATACTAATATACGCAGTAGTAGGTTTACAAAATATACAACTCTGTACACTTTTTCCTAGATTTTAAACATATTTTCTTTTAATCTAAGACTTTTCATGTTACGATTTGCAAACTTATTGGTCTGCTTTAGGTTATAACTAATTACGACATGTTGTATGACAAACATTTGAATTTCTTTCAATGTATTTTTGAAAGATATTTTATAACTTTGTGAATAGGGTATTCGGAAAATATTGGTTCCACTTGGAATTTCCATGATGGTTCCACGTAGAATTCTCTGCAGATTTTAAATGGTAAAAACTTCCTGATGATAGAGGTTACGTATTTTATTTTTGATTAATAGTAATTGCAATTAATAAAAAAATCAAATATTAAATTGCTTATAATTTGAATTTATACATAAATTACATATTGTAGTTGAATCAAATTTTTCGCTTCAATAGTATTTGGTCTATTGTCTGAATTTGAATTACACCGCTTTTCCTCAAGTAAATAGAACTATTTTTGAGCCTTTGGAACATTAATTTCGAGTCAAATTCAAATATTTATAATTATATTAAAACTATATGCACCTACCAGCTCATCTACCGGTTTAATATTTTGGTGCCCGGACGATTAGAGCAAGTAAAAATTATTAATTCGGAAAATGTCTGTGGACGAAATCAATTAAATCAAATTGGGAGATATTGGTTTTAATAATAAAATGTTTCTTTAAAAAAAGTTTTTTTTTCATGACACATGGTATGATTTGCGTCAGGTTGCAGCTGTCGTAGATATACCAGACGCAGCTAGATGTACCAATTTCCATAGCAATAATTTTTACGCATACTATATTATGAAATTTTATACTTAAAATCACAGTGTGTAGAATTTACTTAAACATTCTAAATCTAAATTTTAGGATACATATTTTTTAATGTGATAAATAAAAATAATAAATTTATTAAAATCTAGAAATTTAATGTTTAATTACTAACGATTTTTATATGAAAAGCACATCAGCTGTTACGACGTAACGTTTAAAAAAATTATAAACTAGGGAAACGGAAACCGTTGACGCATCCGAGGCGATAGATTTTCCTAATTGTGTAAATTTAACGTAATTTTATTTAACGTAATTTTATTTAACGTAATATTAGCGTAATTTAAAAATGTGTTTTATTTATTGTTTCCATGATTTTGTTACACCTGATCTTGTTGTTACCCCTGAACTTGAAATCTGATTGGTTAAATCGAAGCGTGACAGACAGAGGCATTGATGTAAGTAATCTGTTAGGATTATGTGCTAATCAATATTTTGGACCTTCGAAATTATGGACTATCGGGTACATGCCAGAATTTTGCAATTGATAATCGAATGATCAGCCTGCTTTCGGTTCCATGTCAGAAAACGATCAATTCTCATCAGGTAAAATCAACTGGAGTCATGATTATGGATTATCAGGATTTTGTATGTTGGAAGTCCCAAACTTGACAGCAGGATTTCCGATAAATTGATAAAGATTTTACCACGATTGTGACGATTTTATTATGATCACTATTTTTATGCGTATAGTGTTATACATTACGGTATCAATTTTATAATTTGTTAATATAATTAAATTAATTAGAAATTAGAATAAATTTCAACTTTTTCCCAATTTCTTATGGATATGATCCATTTGTATAATGTCAATTTTTGGATATCCGCTTGTCCAATTTAAAAAATTTTTTTTTTTATGAAACGTGATCGTTTAGCGCACTTCCAAATACTGGACTGATTTTAAAAAGTTTGAACTAGTTGATCGATTGGTTACAAATTTTAAAGCAATATTTTAATTATTTTTATAATTCACAAAGAAAAATTTGACCAGAATCATTTATTATACTGAGTTTCCTACTTTAGTACCAGTGCCTGTGAAGGCTTGATGGTATTTATGGTTTTCATTTTTATGTTAGATTAAGCCTATTAAGTCATTACAATTTCATACAATATTTTATTAATCAGGATTCAAAAGTAATTCAGTATTTTAAGACCTTCTGTGAACTTCAAGATAAAATTTATATATAATTGCAATTTGTAAGAAATCTTATTAACTTAGTAAATTTATTAGTAACATTTATATGCTAATTATGATTCAAAATAAAGCAATAGCTTTATTCATTCAAGCTTTTCAGAAAGAAGGAATCCTCAGATTTCAAATGAAACAAAATATGACAATCATTTAATAAATTATTTTCTAGAGCTTTTGCGTTAGCTTAAAAGATTAGTACAAATAATATATAGTTAAGGAATGTGGCATGTTAAATAAATTATTTTAGTTTCAGGTATGAATGGTAATGATTAGCATTAACACCCGAAAAGAATTTAATGAAGTAATCACTAGAGTCATATGATTTCATGATATTATTGACAACTTGAAATAGTAATGATTTACATAATAATATATATAATATGAATAAAATGATTTTCTAATTTTTTTTTATAAGAAATAATATAAAACGTATATTTTATTAGTTTATTGAAAAAAAAATTACGATTCATAATGTCAAAGTTTGCAAATTTCTTTCATTATAAAGATTTTGATCCAAAAAAATCAGTAACATCATGGTTTATATCACCAAAAGCATTGATGATAATTAGAGGGATCATTTCATTATATACTTGGATTGTATTAATCGGACATTTAAGTTTTGAAATTCATGATGGAGTGAATGATTTTTTAAAATTTTTCACGAATTTAAGTTATATAGGACTAACCGCTTATTTTACGGTAAGTGAATAAAATAAAACAATTATATATATATAAATCTAATTTACCTTAATAATAATCTATTTATTAGACAGCATTTTACCGTTCGTATCGATATGTAACAAAAAATCATATATTGATTTCTTTTTACAATCAACCAAATATATTAAATTGGTTATTTTGGTCACTTTATCATACGATTATTCATTATCCGTAAGCAAAAAAAAATTTACTTATTAAAGAAATTTTGATTTTTAAAAAATTTAATATAAATGATATATACAGTATATATATATATATTCTTTTTAATAGAATGTTGATAACGGTATCTTATTGGATATTCATATTTGATCCCAAAAGAAATGAAGGATTAAGTCCATTTGAATGGTGGATAAATGTATCAATGCACGGAATTAACTTTTTATTTATCATAATAGAAGTATTTTTTAATCGTCAAATTATGGTCGTTTCCTTTATTATTTTAAATTTTATCATACAATTCTTATACATTTTTATCGTTTATATAAATTATGCGATGTAAGTTGAATAAAACAAAATCATACATTACGTTTTTACTTTTTTTTTTTTTTTTTTGCGTAATTAATTAATTTTTAAAAAATCTTATTTAGAACTTCACAATGGGTATATGAATTTTTGGATTATACAAAAGGAATAAAATCAGTAATATGGTATATTGGATTATTTACTGGATCCACTTTAATCTTTTTTATTATGTATGGAATACATTTATTAAGAGATTTTCTAGGAAGGAAATTTGGTCGTTATCATTTTTTTTTATAAATTCGTTTTAATTTTTTAATTTATTTAATTTATTCATTACCTAACCGATTTTAATTATTTGTAATAATAATTTGATAAAAATCTTTCAATTTTATAATCATTCATGTAATTATTGTTATATTTATAGTGTATTAATTAAATATGATTTAACCTATTATAATAATTGTACTTTACCGGATCTGATCAATCCGGGCCGAATGAAAAATCTGAATTCCGGATCTTACTTTTGTTCATACGGATTATAAAAATTTGGCAAAATCATTAGTATATTAAAGTATAAATTCTGATCAAAAATTTAACTTACGGTCGGAGTTAAGATTAGAAACTATTCAATCAGCCAAGATCGATCGAAACATTACATTTTACAACGATTTAAAATTTTTGTTTAAAACCACTTCTAAATCTTTTATTGAACGTACCACTAGTAACACTACATACAATAATACAAAACTCATTAACTCATTTTTATTGTTCAATTTATACAAAACAAAATAAATATATAAAGTAAATATAATCTTTGCGATCAAGAAAAAAAAAAAAGATAAATCGATAGATTGCTTATAAAACAAATATATATAATAAATAAAATTTTGACACATTCCGTCATGAAAATTCTCCTACTTAATTATTTTTAGGTGGTTCAAAATTTTTACAACATTGTAATAATTGCTCAGCTCCATATTCATTAGCAATTGATTCAATTTCATTTAAATTATTATGATTCAAGAAACCCTTTAACGCCTTTTCACATCTTTGAATTAAAGTAGTTATAAGAAATCTAGAAGCATAGCGTAATAATGTAGTCCATTCATTAAAAGTTTTGATGTTTGGGAGATCACCATTATACACATAATTAAGAATAATTTCTAAAGACTCGTAAGTAATATCTTCATCGGTTAAAGTGAGTGATTTACTTTGTGATTCAATCATTTTCGATTCCAATAATGCATTAAAATAATCTGATCTTCTTGATAATACCTTAGAATGAGCATAAAAATTTCTTTCATTGCTTGTATTATCACCAGATGAAACTTTATAATGGATAACAAAATCGCTTGTTGATTCATCGTTTAATTTTTTTAAAGTATTTGATTCGTCATTCGAAACAGATAGTTCTGGTAGAGGATCGACAATAATATCAGGTCTTAATTTCACTTTAACATCGAAACCGAAAGTATCATCATTTTCAATCATCAACTTATCCCTGGATAATTTACTATTCCAATCTTGTCTAAATAATTGAGTTTTTTGCCATATAACATTATCTTGTTCACCACCACTTAAATTAGCTTTTAATATAAAACCATATTCACTTTTAACGTATTCAGTAAGATCCTTAATCTCATTTACTTTATGTCTACGTTCTGTATATGGTTCAAACTGAATTAAATTCCAAGATGGATCTTGATTTTTCATCGTAGGTAATGGTTTAACAAACCACTGTACTTTTGCATCATTATCAAATGTACCAAATGATAATCTTACTTTAAGAGAATTAATCAAGTAACCTCCATTACGATAATCAAATTTCCAAGAAATTTCACCATCGTCATTCATTTTATCAGGACTAGGGGATCTCGCTAAATAAGTTTTCATCCAATCATGTTCAATCTTCTTTTCAATATTATCACATTGATAGGCACCTTTTTTCCAATTTTTTAAATATTTATGAGATAAATCACCATTTTCATAATAAGCATCAGTATACGTATTATATGAAATTCTATTCATAAATAAATTTAAATTTAAATTATTATTTTCTTCTGTTTGTATGACATTAAGTGAATATTTATCAGCAAATACTCCATTGCTAGTATCATTTTTATCATTCGCGGTTTCTATATGATCATGTGAACCTGAACCGGTTTGTGGTGGAACGTAAGTTGGTGGAAAAAACATTGCCGAAGATTGTTGTATTTCAGAGGCGGAAGGAAAATTTGTATTTTCAGGATAATTTGAATCTTCAGGTGCTCTCAAAATGCATACTGGTTGATTAAGTCTAAAGTTATTAGTAAAGATACTTTGGTTTGCAGAAGTTGGTGCATTAATTGAAGTTTGACCATCAACTTGTTGCTGTTGTTGTTGTTGAAGTTCTCGACTTTGTTCACGAAGTTGTGAAGCTATTTGTTGTTCTAATTGAGCAAAATGAGAATTATTGCTTACATGAATACTTCTTGAAGCTATTTCATTTTCTTCATTGTTGTCGTTGTTAGGATCATCATTGTTACTATTATTAGGGTTGTTGTTGTTGTTAGAATTACTGTCAGGATTATTGTTTGAGTTTTCGTTGTTTGAGTTGTTATTTGAGTTATTGTTTGAAGAATTTCCTCTAGTTATAGTGTATAAAATATTGGGAATCATTCTTTATTTATTATATAAGAGATAAAAGAGATAAACAAAGAAATAAAGAAATACATAAAAAAAAAAGAGGTTATGGGGGTATTTATAATTTTTACGCCACAATATACATGACTTTTAATTTAATGACGAAATTGGTCCATCATATATCGATAAAACTGTCAAGATCTTCAAAAGGTTTTACCAAATTAATTTAATAAGGAAAAATTAAAGAAATTTACACTAAAAAATACTAAAAATGTCTAAATGATTTTTATATTATACAAAAAAGTTATATAAAAGTATAAAAAAAAAAAAAAAAATTTTGAATCGAATCAAATTGGAAGGGAAGAAACGGATTTATCATTATTATTTATATAATCATTATTATTATAACGACCAAATCTTCTTCCTAGAAAATCTCTTAATAAATGTACTCCATACACGAGAAAGAAGATTATGATGTATCCGATAATTAATCCAATATACCATATAGCTGTTATTGATCCTTTTGTAAAATCCGCAAACCCATATATCCACATTGAAGTTCTAAATAATATAAATAAATAGATAAATAAATAAATTCATTTATGTGTTAGAAAAATAAGGGGTTAACTTTAACTTACACTGCATAATTTATAAAAACGACAAACATGTATAAGATTTGTATGGTAAGACTTAATATAACGAAAGAAACGACTATAATTTGACGATTTAAAAATATTTCTATTATAGCGAATAAAAAGTTTAATCCATGCACTGATACATTTAACCACCATCTAAACGGCTGAGGTTTTGCAAATATAAAGTTTCTCGACAAGAATAACCAGTAAGTTAACACTATTACCGTCCTATCAAGAAAGAAAAATAATGATGATGTCATAATGAATTTTTTTATTCTATAAAGAGAAAATCAATTTTGTTTAAAAAAAATATGTATATTATTCTTTTTTGCTTACGAGAAATGTGTCATAGTATGATAAAGTAACCAAAATAACCAATTTAAGATATTTGGTTGATTTTGGAAAGAAACCGGTTTATTATTTTTAGTTACATATCGATATGAATGGTAAAACGCTGTCTAATAAATTTAAAAATACCATTTAAGTAAAAGTAAATTACATTTATATATATGTGGTTTTTTTTTATTTATTTTATTCACTTACCGTAAAATAAGCGGTTAGACCTACAAAGCTTAAATTTGTAAAAAATTTAAAAAAATCACCCGCTCCACCATACGTTGCGGAATTTACAAATTGTCCAATTAATATAATCCAAGCATATAATGCAATGATCCCTCTAATTATCAATAATATTTTTGGTGATATAAACCATGATGTTACTGACTTTTCTGAATCAAAATCTTTATAGTGAAAGAACTTTGCAAAATTTGAAATGTTTTTCATATTTTCTTTTCCTATATTTTTCAATAATCCTAATAATACTCTATATATATATATATATATATATTATATATTTTTAAAGTTAAGAAGTAAAAAACAAAAAAAAAAGAGAAATTTTTCTGAATATATATATTTTATTAAATGTGGCTGCTTACTAATACGATGATCTTTGATGACACCTTTATAACTTTATTGATCTTTATTTCGGAATACTTTATCCTTTTATCCTTCCCTCTCTGCAAATTTGAAACTTCATTACTATAAATAACGGCTTCTTTGTTGAGATTTACCGAATAATAGTAATATAATAGTAATTAAATGTTAATGTGTGTTACAATTACAATCGTATTGATTACCACAATAAGCACAATAAGCTTGTGTGATGTGACGCAGTAATTATTTTTACTCCGTCCGCAGTTCCGCAGTTAAAATTGACGCGTTTTATTACTTAAATTTTCTAAAATATGTTACACCCGTCCGGTAAAGTTCTTCGTACATTCCGGTGTACTACAACCCCTACTTTACAATGAGGTTTTCTCGTGTGCTTGCGACTAATTTTAACCTGTATATACGATATATATATATATCAGATATATGTATGGGGTTGAGAGGAAATTAATTGAAAATAATATTTTTTTTTTTTTTCGCCAAAAATGATTAAACGTAAAATCTCCTCTGCTTCTATTAACAATAGTAAAAAGCAAAAAGTATCCACTTCAGTACAGAGTTCACTTTCGTCTTTTGTTAAGTCTCAACCTCGGAATCAAACTATTACCTCAGAAACCTTATTGGATAAAATGAAGGATGAAAATAAAGAATTATTGAGCTTGGAAATTAAAACTATGAATAGTGAATGGTTGAAAGTTTTAAGTGAAGTGATACAAAAGCCCTACTTTATTGAGGTATACTAAAACGCGTTTTAATAAACTTTATATCTATGTGATACGCGAACTTGATGCGTTTTAACCTTTTTTTGTTAGCTTAAAAAATACCTTCAAAGGGAGAAGGATAATAACAAGAAAATTTTTCCACCTGGTATAATGATTTAATAGAATTTTGTAATTTGGTGTCATGGTACTACAGTGCTGATATTATACGTAATGGGATGATCCTGCTCTCAGGATAATAACGGTTCTAACCCTAATCCTAGTTTTAACCTAACCTTAATTCCAGTGTTATAGTGCCATAACGCCAAATTATGATTTTCTTTGGTTTATAACAAATTTATTTTATATTTATTTTTTTACAATAGAACCGGAAATATATAGTTGGTCAAGATTTACCCCTCCATCTTCAGTTAAAGTTGTTATTATAGGACAAGATCCATATCATGATGTCGGTCAGGCTCATGGCTTGTGTTTTAGTGTTCCACATGGCGTTCCACCACCACCATCGTTGATCAATATTTATAAAGCCTTGAAAAATGATATTCCATCATTCCAGATTCCGAAACACGGTAATCTTATTAATTGGACCAAGGCTGGAGTCCTCCTTTTAAATACCTCACTCACCGTACGAGCACATGAAGCAGCAAGTCATAGTGGAAAGGGATGGGAGAAATTTACTGATGCTGTGATACAATATTTAAACGATAGAAAGAATGGATTAGTTTTTATGTTATGGGGAAATCATGCCATCAAGAAAGGAAAAAATATTAACAAGGTCATATTCTTTTTTTTTTTTTTTTTTTTTAATATTCAAAAAATTATTAATTATTATTCACCAAAGACCAAATTTTCTTTCATATATTTAAGACCAAACATCTCGTTCTGCAAACAGTCCATCCGTCGCCATTGTCTGCTCATCGTGGATTTTTTGAGTGTAGTCATTGGTCTAAAGCTAATGCATACTTAAAATCTCATGGTAAACAAGAAATAGAATGGGATTGTTTGACGGAATCTGATTAACGAACCATTCAAATTTTGTAAAAAATATGGGAACTAGTTATATTTTCTTTTTATACAAATAGTTTGGTGTCTTAACCGGTCACTTAAAAGTTTAAAACTTTTTTGTTGGCGCTAGTGATGATGAAATTTGAAAAAGTTATTCCTGAAGAAGTTATTCAAATATGGCATTAAATAATAGTCTAATTTTTTAGTTATTACATATATACTAATATATACTAATACGAACATTAATAATAAATATAATATGATTTTATAAATATATAACTGAGTAATATGATTTAGATGATAAATAAATTAAAGAATGATTTTGGGAGAATGATCGCAAATATTCGTTTTAATTACACCAACATTTTATTCCCTAATATAAAGTGATTCAAAACTTTTTTTAAAGGGAACTGTTTAGATTGTCTTAAGTTGTAAATCGGTAAAATTGCATCATGCAATACCGGCAATTAGATAAGTAGATTTACTTGTGAAATGGAAACCATTGTAAGTCTGGGGCGAAAATTGAATGTGGAAATTAATCGCATAGGCTTTTCACAACGATTAATAATGTAAAAAAAATAATTTTTTTTCGGAACGGAACCGTTATAAGCTCTTTAACGGATTTTATTGCTTGTACATCGTCACGTGCAGGACGGATAGTGGGACATTTTTGTGTACCCTTAGCCGGCTTAGCGTAATCCCTAAATCTAAACTAGAAAATGGGAAAATAATTCACTATATTCCGAATTTATTCAAGCCTTAGAACTTTTGCGATTAAATTAAAAGAACCTGTGTGAAACTTTTGATTTTAACTGTTAATAAATTCTAACTTTTTACCAATTCACAAAAAATGAACTCTATGAACTTTCTTAAATTTTTTTCTACAAGCCCAAGTTCCCTTCAAAACTTATTTCGAATCCCAACTTAGTCAAAAAAATAAGACTAATAAATGGTATGGCGCTAGTGTGTCATTTTCTTGAAGAAAATGGTAGATGATAAAAATGGAAAAAACATTAAGTCTGGAGTAAAAGTTATTATTATTTAAGTGACAATTTAAAGCTCATGAAACATGACGATAATAAATACGACAATGCAATCTGACTACTGACTAGAGTCACTCAACTAAATTGTTACAATATTTAAATATTCATTTTACTTCGATTGGAAATGGCATTAATTTTTTTGTGATCATTGATTATTTCATAATCTTTATTTAATAAAAAATTGAACCATCTTTTTACATAAGCCTTTTGAAATGTCCATACAATACAGTATAAATTGATTTGAGGTCTTTGATCTCCTTTTGCTCTTGATTGTTTAGAAGATGTCAACAATTCTAATAAGGGTAAACTTGTTCAGAAGTTCCTTATTCCTTTATACATTTGATGAATCTTTGTAGCACCCTTTTCAACAACATTAAGATCACTTAATTACTTATCACTATCGTCATTTAATAATACCAAAAATGATGAACATGTCGAATGAGAATTTGAGAAAAATCTTTACCGGATAATATAAGTAAGCTCATAATTGATAAATTTAATAAGAATAAGAATAGGAAAAAATTAAAAAAAATTTTTTTTTTCTTTTTTTTTCTTTTGATCTTTTTTTTTCGGTTATTTTACCTATTTAAAGATGTTTTATAAATAATATGAAATTCAAAGGTTTTGTGAAATCTTTTCTTTCAACAGAAAATCTAGATCGAGATCAATCTATTTTACAACTAATTCTTAAAATAATTCAATATTGCGTTGTCGTGGAATTCGGTAGTTGTTGTCGGATCGACATATTGACCCTCCCTTACATTTCGCGCATAACCATCTTTTATGAGGTTTTCCACCTGGTGATTGTACTAATTGACTGTGATTCGAGACGACGGTAGCATGATCGCATTCTTTGCATCCTCTCTTTTCCTTGGGTTTCTTTTTGCATACTTTGCATTCCTCCCTACAATCATGGCACTTCTGCTCGTAATAATCTCCCTTTTTCAATGGGGATTTTTCTATATAATTTCGGAGTAATATCCAAGTATAGGAGCTTTTCCATTCATGAGGACTTTGAGGGCGATTGCATTTCCATTCGGCGAACACTCTGTAATGATTATTCCATTCTAAGCGACAGACGATCTCAACATCGGGCTTTTTCTATAAAATCAATTTTAAGCAGAATATATAGATTAAACTTTCGAAAATAAAAGTGAAAAAAAATTTTTTTAAATCAATTTTTTTACTTACACTTGCACGATTTGGTTGCCGATTGTATAGAAAGAAACTAGTGACCAGACTTTCTTTATCACATTCCTTGCATTTATTCATAAAAACATCTTTCTTGCTTTTTTGATTTAATGTTAGATAACTTCGGAGTGATTCCAAAGAATATTTATATTGCCATTCGTATTCGTTGTTGCATGAAATTGGCCAATGAGGACATGACCAATTGCCGTATACCACGTAATTTTTGTCACGGGTTAGTATACTTCTGACAATTTCGGTAATCTATTAGAATGAATATAACAAAATATAAGAAAAAATTTGTTATAATATCAAAAAAAAAAAAGGAGAAAATTTTATTGCAATGTGATTTTACCCTTTTAACATTTTCACGATCTTCCTTACTCAAGGAAGTCTACAAAAACAAAGAATATTTTTTTTTCGATTATTATGATTGCAAAAATGATTGTTTTAATGATCATTCTCAAATATATTATTAAATTACCGTATTTTTTTCGGATTTTGATGAGATATTGTAAGGATCGGAAAAAGAAGTTGGATTTCCCTTTATTCCGAGAGACGTCTATAGAATAATCAAAGGATGTTAATATGTTGGAAATGATGGAAGGTTTGTATTATAGTTATGATAAATTGAGTATACCGTTTTCTTATTATCCATTGACGGGCGATGAGAAGTGTTATCCTTCGTTCCAGAGGTTACTCCAGAAGCCTACAAAAACAATAAATTTTGTTTTGGTTATAATGAATAAAACGAGGTTTCAGAGTAAATATTAATTTATACCGTAATTGTGACATGGGTTGTGTTATCATTTGTTCCAGAAGTCTATTAAATTATTAAAATGTATATTAGTTATAACCGCTGGATCAATCAACCTGTCACTTCAACAATAATAATAAATAAACATACCAATTTCCTTTCAGATGATGCTACGACATTGTACGAGCGATTTGAGAGAGAAGTCGTATTCTTACTTACTTGAGAAGCCTATAAAGCAACCAAAATGTTTTCGGTCAGTATGACTACAAATCATAATAATAATCAAAATTATTTTAGAAAATTTGCTGTGGAAATTGATTACTTTTTCCTGTTGTCTGGCTAGGTAAAGTTTTATAGCTTCCTGTTCTCTAGCCTGTCTAGCTTGTTTAAGCCTCTCCGCTTCCTGTTCTCTAGCTTTTTTAGCTAGTCTAAGCCTCTCCGCTTCCTCTTCTCTAGCTTGTTTAGCTTGTCTAAGTCTTTCCACTTCCTGTTTTCTGATTTTTATTTTCAACCATTCAGTATCATAGGAAGGTTGGGGGGTAGAGAATATACTTTCACTCTTCCGCTGAGGAACCTATTAAAAATAACCATGGTCAGTTACCGGCAAAGATTCTAACAGCAAACAATATAGTTATATACATACGTATTGACTGTACTGGCTAAACTGGCGACTAGAAGGAGAGGAAGTTTTGTTCTTTTGAGAGGCCTATTAAAGCGAATATATTATTATTATTAAAACTAAACAGAAGGTTAATAAAGAAATATTTAATATACCTTCTCATTTCCGGATACTGATGATAGTATCTGTCCCATATTGTACTAATATCGATAATGAAAGAAAGAAAGAGTGTAGATAAGGACACAGACAAAGCGTCTGATACTGAAAAAAACGATACTGATGGCTTATATTTATATTTATAAGCAAAACATTCGTAAGCCAAAACAATTTAGGGTTTTAATCGGCGTAAATATTCCGTATTCGCTATTATAAATGATGGATGCTGTCCGAAAAAGGAATGTACGTTAAACAACTGACCGTCTGGCGTTTTTTTGAGCTTTTCCATTAATTTCTAAATATGAAATCATAATATACACTAAATCATAACAAACTTTCTATTGGATTTATGATTTTCATGTGATACGCGTATAAAACCTTAATTAAAGTACGATATTGTTTTTGGGAAGATATGACGCTTTATAGTTAATGATAATCCAAAGAATTAAAGTGTCAAATATAAATCAGGTTTTATGTCACACCTTTCATTTCATTTACTACGTGAATGACCTTATTTTCGACCTTGAAAATATATGGAATACATGTTGGAATCTCAAATGGAAAATAAATTATTATTAGTAAGTTAATATCCTAAGCAACTTCTAGTTAAAGGTGTTGAATTTCAATTGTTTCCAAATATAGTCCACTAGAAATCCTCACAGCCTATCTCAGCCTCTGTTATTTCTGTTATACCCGATTTTACACGTTAGAGATCTATTACGCCTACATGGTTGATTGTCGAAAGATCGACATTTCATTGTTCAACTATATTCAAAACCTAACTATATCCTAAACCTAACTAGGTTAGGGCATTCGAATACGAGTTTCGGACAATCGTTATTTCAAAAATGATCTTAATATTATGTGATGTCTATTTATACTTTATGGTATACGATACAATAATTAAGGTATCCATTAAATGATATAAGAAAGGGTATATTTATTATTTACTTGTTAAATTATTTAATCCATTAATTAATATCCTGTGTGTTACTATCCTTGATATTATTAATACAGCGTCAATTATTTATTTTTGGAATTTCTCCCTCAATACCTCAAGATATTTTTCGAAAAGATCGAAGTTCAAATTACCGACTGAGAGCCAGATCGGATAAACGGAGTTTTGGTATAAGCATGAAATTCAACAAAATTTTGTGCTTATACTTTGCTACCGAAGAAAAAGGAAACTATTTGGAAAGTATATCATACAAGTAGACTTTGATATTTCCCCAAAATAATAAACCTTCCATAATTTTTCATTTAGTATATATTTCCAATATTATTACTTCCAAAACATCAAAATGGGGTAATGTCCTTGTATTAGTTTTATATCGTTTAAAAGTTAATTTTCCGATTTTTAATCCATCTGGGAATATCGCATAATGAAATGCCAGAAATGGTTAATGGTGAATCAAAGGATAAAAGAAATAAAAATAACTCAATTTGTAGAATAATACATAATTTCGTCTAATTTATTTATTTTAATAATTACTGCATGATTTGTTTATAAAATATATATGTATAAATAAAATCCTCAAATGTACTGTACCGAAAAAACAGATGGAATGTTCTAAGTGCGACTGACTATATTGACAATATCTTATCTTTTGAAGGCAATATTGATTGTCATAAAAATAGCGTGTAACACAAGTAGATTGGCTCCTGACATTTTTTCCTTATTTTTTTACACAGATAAAAATTTACATTTCTCGTGTTTCCAACTACTAAACATTCTTTTTTGTCTTAGGAAATAATTTTTATCTCACCCAAAAGCATAGCTTCATGGCTTTTAGGAGTAAAGTTGAAGGGTTTCAGCTTATTACAAACACACCAACCTTTTCACGATCATTTATTCTTAACTTTGGTTCAGTAAAACCCTTGGCCTCTTTATCAAAATGCCTGGATACAATAGAAGTTAAATCATAGTGAAATAAGCTGGAAAAAATAGTTTTTTTTAAGAGCCTAAAAAGTCTGCAAAGTTTGGACTTGTTGGACTATGTAACTTTTTTGATCAAAGGGAAAACCTTAGAAAAGTGAGATAAAATGTGTTATTAGACGCAGCAGGTTGTTTCTTTGGTGTTTCATTTGGTGTAGGAGTGGTTTTGTCTTTTCCTTTTTATTTTTTCTTTTTTTTTCCTTCTCATTTCAATTATTTTGGAAAAACCTTGGGGTATTGGAATGTCGATCGAAGTGGCATAATTTTTGTGGGACTTTTTTTAAATGGGCCCGTAAGGTGACGATCATGTAAGGTGTTGTGAGTGACGAGAGCTAGTCTTCCTCATGTGACTGGCTTCTATACTACGAAGGATGAAGAAGGATATCAGAAGTGATCAACTCTGCTTGGAATCAGGTTAAACCTACCTCCGTCAAAGAGAAGTAAACAGAAGGATATAATTATATAATTTAGATTTCTGGTAGAATAGGGAAGGAACAGAAGTGACAGGAGAAGGAACATGAAAGAATATTAATGTTTACTATTCTAATTGTATTATCAAGCTAAATTTTTAGAGTTTACATTTATAGCTGACACTAATTAGTTACAACATTCCCAACTTGACGGTATTTACGTTGGGTATTTGTTTTTTGTCTAAGAAACAAATAAAAGAAATACTCATGCTTTGCATGGGGGTAACTCTTCATATTTTACTGTGTATATATTTCATTTAATGGTTGTGGTGATTTATCCTTAGGCGCTCCAAGCCAAATTCATAACTTGAGGATCACAAATCACAACCAGAATTAACATAATTTCGGCCAAAGTTATAAGCAGGTCATGTGATTTTTAATAATTATAACCAAATTTTATAATTCCGGCCTAAATTATATGTATTATTCTCTTGAAAACGGGGTTATGTTAAACGAAGGATCAAGTTGGAGTGGCCTTAATTTGAAAATTGATTAAAATTTGCAGTTTTATTATTAAAATGTCCATTATTTCTCTAGATCATAAGCGACTACATATAAATTCAGACGAAATTAATTTATTCGTATTACATTAATCGAAAAAGAAAAAATATTTTATTAATTTTTTTTTCTCATATTGAATTTTTTTTTCTTTTATTTGGACAAGAAAATTATTATAAATTATATGAAAGAATGGAAAAAAACGCGAAAAAAATCCTAAAAATCCTTTCGTGCAGTTAAGTAAACAATTAAAGAATCGTTGGTTTATTGGAAACAAGATAAAGTGATAAACCATAGCATATGCCCTTGTCCTCTGGATAGCATATCTCTGAGTTTGTAATTGGTGTTTAAAGTCATAGTTCTAGTTAGATCTTTCCATTTTGTAGTTTCTTTTTTTTCTTCTATGTATTTATTTAAAGATTATAACAGTCATTTTTTTTTTAAAAAAAAAAATTTATTATCCCAATGGATATTTCTGTGCTTTTGCTAATTCGATTCTAGTCTAAGATCTTGTCTTTATCACTCACTCATGTTAAAATTTTTTTTTAAATATTAGAGCCTTCTTTAACGAATTTTTTGATATTTAGAACAACATTTGGAATTTCAATTTATATTTAAAAAAAAAAAAAAAAAAAAAAAAAATTATCTATATCACCTTGTTTTCTTGTAACTATGATATATATTGACGTTATTTTCAGCTAACTTGGACGATCCTTACTCTTAAATATCTATTAGAACTTTGTGTTTTTAATAGTTTATGTGCGTTTAGCATTACAAACTTAATATATTTTTACTACATAATATAAAGACATGAAAATGAAATAATGTTAAAATTTAAAAATTCTCTATATTATGTAGTACTCCTCATTTTAACTTTGGTCATGCTTTATCTTCTTAGTACTAAAAAAGAAAAATTTCATACGATCATAACTTAAACTGTGATATATTCTTTTAGTTAAAAAAAAATTTGTCTTTATTTTTGTTCAAAATAACAGAATTAAAGAAATTAAATAAAATATTTTACATCAATTTTTATGTAAAATTATTAATGACTATTTTTAATCAGACACAAACTTTTTTAAGTTCTTGGCATAAAGAAAATGTTCTCTATTCAACTTTAATCATAATTCGTGTTAATTAAACGTATATGTGCAAACAACTATCTGATTATCTATAATTCGGAGAGGAACAGTTATAATAAGTAGTTAATAGCTTTAATACCTAATGGGCATTAAATACTAAATAACTGCCAGCGAAACTCCTATACAGAATTCACGGAATCGACAGCAGATTTACGAAACAAAGCCAATGGGACCAATCAGAGTTAACGACACCAACAAAATTAACCGACGTATGAGACTAACAAAATTGATTTTTCAAAATACTGATTCAAGGTTATTCTACATTTTTGAGAAAAGAAAATATAACATTAGTATAGCAACATGAGTTACGTTCTGCAAGCAATTCTAGCTTCGTGTAATATCTCATAGGTTATCTGTCATTAATAATAATTGATTGTGCGCATTCTTTTCTTTTCTGGGAAATATTACAAATAGAGTGAGATATAAAATAAAATTGGAATACCTGACATTTCACTGAAAGGTTTCAAATCTTTGCTAAAGCAAGCAAATAAACAAACCTAAGGTGATATTAATAATAAATTTACGATATAATATTTAATTTATATAATATCACTATCACTTAGAAGTACTTTATTGAAATAATAACTGACAGTAATTGTACTTTTAAAATATGAAACTATTGAAATAAGTGATAATATTCATGACTTGCTTTAATGATTTCAAATTAATTTTGCACTATATTAGATAGGGAACTTAAAAATAAGTGACACGATTAAAAATATGAAAAAATATTTGTATTATGGTACGTGATGGTCATGATCTAATACGTTGATTAACATTAATCATGTCACAGAAAGATAGTACTCAGTAGAAAGAAGACCCATTAAACAATTGGATTGCAAATGGATCATTTGTAATTTGTAAGGGTATTTGTGTAAAATGATTTAATGTATCAGTGTTATAATATATCCTATTAATAATGCTACGTCTTCGTCGTTGATGACATCTAAAAGAATAAAAAGAATGAAATAATGAGATTAACATCATTTTATTTATATAAAAAAGATAAAATAAAAAAAAAGATAAAAAGAAGAGCGAAAAAAAATAATATTTATTGTATTTGATATTCGGGAAGGACAAATGAAAAAAAAGAGCAACGTTAAAGGATCAAAAAAAAAAAAATTTAATGAACGCACCGTTCATTTACTGGCTTACGATTAAGTTCATATCGTTTTCTCCGCTCAATTTTATTGTTTTCCGAGAGATTTTGCC